GTCTGATTCGTCCGCTCCGTTTGACCGTCAGTCTCGGGGTGGTACGATGAGCTGAACCGTAGCCTTGTCCCGAACTGCTCCCAGAGGTTCTTCCAGAAGTTGCTGGTGAACTTCGTGTCGCGGTCGCTGATTATCGCGGCTGGTATCCCGTGCAGTCGAACGACGGCTGCGATGAACAGGCGAGCGGTTTTTTCGGCTGAGATCGATTTCTTGCACGCAGCGAAGTGTGCCATCTTCGTCAACCTGTCAACGACGACCATAACCGCGTCGTTACCCCCAGGGTTTGAAGGTAACCCCGTGACGAAATCCATGGTAACCTGCTGCCAGGCGCGCTCAGGCGGTGGAATCGGCTGCAACTGACCCGCCTTTCTTTTTCGCGAGCTCTTCATCACGTGACACGTAGGACACGAGCCCACGTGGTGCTGTACGTCAGTCAACAGCTCCGGCCAGTAGTAATACCGCTGCAATTGCTGTCGCGTTTTTTCTACCCCAAAATGTCCCGAGGTAATCCCGTCGTGTGCCTCCTGCAGTAACAGTTCCCTCAGTAGTGCGTACGCGGGTACCCAGATGCGGTTGGTGCCTGTTTTTACGTAATAGACTCCTCTGGCCTCTGCCAGTTGCTGTGAATTTCCGGTCGTTAAAAATGGGTCGGTACTGTATCCGTGGGTGAATTGGCCTGTTAACAGTGGGTTGGTTTGGGCGAGTAGGATGGCGTGAAGTTGGGCGGTGGGGCGTGTGAGTGCGTCGGCGATGTTGGATGCGCCTTTTTTGTACGTGACCGTGTAGTGAAAGTTGGACTCCAGATAGTCCAACCAGCGGATCTGTCGTGGGTTGAGATTCGGTTGGGCACGAAGGTACTGTAGGGATCGGTGGTCTGTGCGTACTGTCACGTCTGCTCCCGTGAGGTAACATCGCCATACTTTGAACGCGTGCACGATCGCCAGCATCTCGTGGTCGTGTATCGGGTAGTTGCGTTCGGGCGGGTGAAGCTTGCGGGACTCGTATGCGATTGGCTGGAGGCCGTTCCCGAAGTCCTGCAACAGTACTGCTCCCACAGCGATGTCGCTAGCGTCGGTGACGAGCTCGAACGGACGGTGCAGATCTGCGATGTGAAGTACGGGCTGTGAGCACAAAATAGTTTTAAGGGCCGAGAAGGCAGCTTGCTCTTTCTCCCCCCACGTGTACTCAACCCCCTTCCTCAGCAGGTCGGTCAACGAGGCAGTCAGCTTCGCCATGTCAGGGACGAACCGTCGCACGTATTTGACGAACCCCAGAAAACTCTGCAACTCGGTCAAGTTTGTCGGCGCGTGCCATGCTTGAATCGTCGCAATCTTTTTCGGGTCTATTTCCACTCCTGCAGCTGTAAAAACTCACACTTATACGCTTTTGTCAGTAGGCGGTTCTCACTCAGTATCTTAAAAACTGCTTCGATGTCCTGTAAGTGCTGTGCTCTGTCGGGGCTGTAAATGAGGATGTCGTCAAGGTACACGATGACACACTTATCTAAAAGCGGGCGGAAGGCTTCGTTCATGGTCATTTGAAAGGTGGCGGGGGCGTTGGTCAGTCCGAAGGGCATGACGGTGTATTCGAAAGATCCGTAGCGTGTTTGGAAGGCTGTCTTGGGGCAGTCGGGTGGGTTGACGCAAATCCGGGCTGTGAGCAGTTGGTCGATCAGTTCGCCGGCTCGCGGGATGGGGTAACGGGATTTCATGGTAACCCTGTTCAGTGCTCTGTAGTCTATGCACATGCGAAAACCCCCGTCCTTTTTCGGTGTGAACAGTATCGGTGCTGCGAAGGGCGACGAACTAGGGCGAATGAACTCCTTCTCGAGCAGGTAATCCAGCTGCTTCCTCAGTTCGTCGAGTTCGGGTTGGGTCAGCCGGAACTGTCGCTGTACTGTTGGCTGTGCCCCCGGTTCGAGTTCTATCCTATGGTCGTGCGGTCGCTGAGGTGGCAGTCCCGCCGGTAGGTCGTCCGGGAAAATGTCACTGTACTGCTTCAACAGTGCTGCCAGATCACCCGGTATGTCGGCTAGCAGTTTCTGTAAATCCCCCCCTTTGTCTGCTGCCTCGGCTTCCCGAATGTCAACCGCGTACACGTCAGCTCCTGCCGCTACGGCGCGTTTCATCGTGATCGCGTTGACACGCACCGACGAAGACTCAGGGGAGCCCCAGCGAGGTAAGGCGATGTTGTTACCGTTCACTCGCACATTGCAGTCACTCGTCGTCCAGTCGATTCGTGGATTGTGTCGTTGCAGCCAATCACGGCCGAGTAAGATGTCGGTTCCGTCGAGGGTCGTTGCGAGCATTTCCTGGCTAAACGTGAAGTTACCCCCGCATCGATTCCGAACTCGGTCCACACGTTCCCGTATCGCCAGTGGCGTGCTGTCGACCAGTCTAGCGTCGATCTCAGGTAAACATCTGTCCAGTGGCAGTCGCAATTTTCGTGCTGTGGTAGTGTTGATAAGGCTGTGGCTGGCCCCTCCGTCTACGAAGATTTTAACTAAGTCCGTCCCGATTTTTCCACTAAGCAGTATAGGGCTGTCTACCGTAGTACCCTCCTTATTCGGCCGGGTGTGGTCGATTGCGTGAACCGGCACAATCACTCGGTAAGGGTCAGTTGGGTCGGGCGAGCGGCGTGACCTGTCAGTAGAGGGCCCGTCTGCTACTGACTCCCAGCGTTTCCCTACTGCTTGGTCTGTTTCTGCTGCTCAGCTTCCCCCTTTCCCTTGCGTTTTCCGGGCATTCGCTCTTACGGTGTCCTGGCCGGTTGCACGCAAAGCAGCGCCCTTTAAACGGTGCGGCAGTGGCATTTGCGGCGACGGCACGTATCGTAGCGCTCTCGTTCGTCCCACGAGGACGATGTCCCCAATTGCTGCTTCCGTAGGACCCCGGTCTCGGTCGGCGGAAGAAGTCAAGTTTCTCCGCCATAGCGAGAATTTATTGAAAATCGGTGACGCCGCGAAGCTGGATTTCCTGACCGATGTCCTGCTTCAGGCCGCCGATGTAGCGGTCGATGCGCTCGCTCTCGTACATGTATCCCACCTACTCGCATAGCGCCAGAAATCCGCTCGTGTAGTCCTGGACGGAACCGAGTTGGCGCCAAGTGCGGAGCCTCTGTCGCGCTGCGATCAAAGCCGCGATTGGCTCGAAACGAGCGTGCAGACCTGCGCACCACGCGTCCCACGTGCGATACTGGGGCACCTCCACGAAATACAACGGCACCCAGGGTCCGGTTTGTCCTTCCCGTGTCGGTAGAGTCGCGTAGTCCACCAGCTTCGTGACGATGACACGCCACCAGTCCATGGCGGGTCCTCGCAGCAACGACACGGCGTAGCGAATCTTCGCCGTATCCTCCGAGACGTAGTTCGCGTCGAAGAAAACATTCAACGTGAAGAGCCACGCCTGAACGGTAGGACCACCCCACTGACTTGGGTCGAAACATGGCGGACGCTGCGGCTTCAGCGGCATCGGCGACGGTAGAGTTGATTCGCCGGCTGGCACCGAAGTCGTGACTCGAGCCTGATTCCTGGCCGCATTCGTCGCGTCGGGGTGTGTCGTGCCGTGGTCGTCGTCTCCGTCGTGGCGGACGACGCCATTACTGGCCGCGCTCGCGGGTTGCCCCACACTTCCGTGTTGCGATGTCTGTGGTGCGGGCTGTATCGGAGTGCCAGGTGCTTGGGATTGTGTTCGTGCGAGGTCATTTTGCAGGGAGGTGCGTTCCGCCGTTAATGCCGCGATTTCCTCGGAGCTTTCGTGCAGTTGTCGTAGCAGCTCGTCCAGGCGGTCCTGCGTGAGGCTGGTGACATCGATGCGTTCAGCCATTCCGAAGGGCGTCGGCTCGTCTTAGTCTAGGCGCAGTCGTGGCTGCACGCGTTTACGAGAGAACGCGTGGACATCGGCTCCTAGGGGCTAAGGTGCGTGAGTCCCTTCGAGTGAAAAATCAAAAGTTGATTTCCTGGGGTGCGGAGATGCGCGGTCCGAAAAGAAAGAGGCTCTGAATACCAAGTGTTACGGGTGCAATGAATCGAAGTAGCGGGAATTGCACTAAGGTGTCAAACAAGTACAAAATGTGGGCGAAGGCATGAGCAAACATTTATACGCGAAACATGCAAACGGTAACGCGGTGCGTGCGAGCTAGCTGGTGCTATGCTGGAGGCGAGGCTCGGGCTAGTCCCGAAGCGTAGGCCGACACGGCCAGGCCAGCAGTGCGAGGTTTGGTGAAACAGTGCGCGCGAAGTCGGCGAAGCCCCGTTAGCAGTAACGGGCGAACAACGGCTGCTGCTGTACGCGATGTTGCAGGGCGCGCTAAGGAATATCGAGAAAATTCCTTACACTTAGTAAGGACTTCTTAGACCTATTACCCGGCCATAAAATCTACGGAAGCCCATGTGACAGCTGCTCCTTATCAGAGGTGCGTCTCTATCCGTTTCTCTTCCCTAAAAGCTCAACATAATGTAATCTTAACATTATTAAAACATCGGGATGCCCCCTCCGCCTCGCGGCCAGTGGTGGTCGCGCCACACTCGCCGCTCTCGCGTTCAGCGGCTTGCCGGACGCTGGACCGTTACGCCGGAACCTCTGCCCGCCTCTATGCGCCAGCGGATTGCTTTCCGTTGGGCGCCTAGCGCGCCTCTCTCGCGGCGTAACAGCTATGCGCCCAGCGGAATGCTCGCCGCTGGGCGCATAGCGCGCCTCTCTCGCGGAGTAACAGCTATGCGCCCAGCGGAATGCTCGCCGCTGGGCGCATAGCGCGCCTCTCTCGCGGCCAGCGCTATGCGCCCAGCGGATTTCTCACCGCTGGGCGCATTGCTAGTTCCCTCACGGACAGCAATGCGCTCAGCGGATTGCTCACCGCTGGGCGCATTGCGCCTCTCTCGCGGCCAGCAATGCGCTCAGCGGATTGCTCACCGCTGGGCGCATTGCGCCTCTCTCGCGTCTAGCAATTCGTTCAGCGGATTGCTCACCGCTGAGCGCATTGCACCTCTCTCGCGGCCAGCAATGCGCTCAGCGGATTGCTCACCGCTGGGCGCATTGCGCCTCTCTCGCGGCCGGCAATGCGCTCAGCGGATTGCTCACCGCTGGGCGCATTGCGCCCAGCTCGCGGCCAGCAAAGCGCTCAGCGGATTGCTCACCGCTGGGCGCAGTGCGCCTCTTTCTCCAGCGCTATTCGCCCTGCGGAATCCTTGCCGCTGGGCGCATAGCTGTTCTCTCGCGGCCAGCGCTATGCGCTCAGCGGTGAGCAATCCGCTGGGCGCATTGCGCCTCTCTCGCGGCCAGCGCTATGCGCTCAGCGGTGAGCTCACCCTTTCCTTGCTATTACTCAACCCCGCCACTCTCTCTCTCTCTCTCTCTCTCTCTCTCTCTCTCTCTCTCTCTCTCTCTCTCTCCTCTCTCTCCCCCCTCTCCCTCCCCACCGGTACTACGGCAGGTGTTTGCAGGCTTCTTCGCCTCACAGCCATTCCGCTTTGAGCCATACGACCTTCTCACCAACATCGTCAAGGTGCGCCCACTCCCTCACTTCACTTTACTTGAACTGCCCTACCCTTGATGACTTCCAGAAACATGTGACTGCTCCCCCGTGGGGGCTCACCGCTCACCAACCTCATCCAGGTTTAGGGACTCACTCACTGCACTTCAACTTCCCTGCCTTAGGCGTCTCTCACGCGGCCAGCTATGCGCCCAGCGCAGAATGAGAGACCGCAGGCCGAGTATTTTACCCTCTCATCCCCGATCATGCAATCCCTTGCCTTATGTCAGGTCAGGCCATGCACGTGCATGTTTCAGAATAGAAAGGGCATGTTTCACACCATGCACATGCAAATATCAGTATGGGATGGCACGGGATGAGCTCGGGGATCGGAATTCACTGGGATGGCTGCCTTGCCCACCTCCCCCCAAACCCCAAACCCCAAGGCTCCGTGGGGATGAACAGGCCTGGCCAAACCGGGCCAGGCCTAACATGCCAGGCCTGGCCGAACCTGGCCAGCACCCGGCCAGACCGCTGAGTGAGGGGGAAAGAGTGGGGGATGATGGAGGAAGCACGCTTGTATTCAGCCCCCCACATTCCCTCTCGTTATTTCTCTCGCCCTACTCTTCCCTCTCATCCTCTCTCGTCCACTATCCAGCCCTCGAATTCCGGGTTTAGTCATTCCCTATACAGACTTGTTATCCCGTCGGGTTTTGTCCCCTCCCCTATCTTCCTCTCTCATCCCCTCTCATTCTGATCCCATGTCCTACCATTCATCCCCATTTTTGTCCTCTCATGCAAGCCCCTCCTTATTTATACCATCTCATCCCCTTTTATGTCGTCCCATTGCTTCTGCCTTTATATCTACTACCTAATCTCTGCTTGTTATTCCTCTCTATCTATCTTCTGCCAGAACGAGATTTACCACCCCCCCTTATCCAGCCATCTTTTAAAAGTTCTTTCTCTTTCATCACCTGTTATCCAATGTTGTCGCATATCCTGCCCTCTAGTCCCCTCTCATTCTCTCACATACGCTACTAGTACCCCACATGCCTGACCATCCCCAAACATACCCTCTAACACCCTCTCCTGCTCCCGTGAGTGAATCTGCCCTCAAATTTCACTCATCCACTGAAACTCTCGTTATCCCATCTCAGGCTGTTCCCATGCAGCAAGGGAACGGGTCTGACAAAGAGGTGGTGACATGGGAACAGCAATGACATGGGAACGGGTCCTTGTCGTTCCCATGTTCCCTTACTGCCGCCATGGCTGTTCCCATCCCTATCCGACCCCGTCCTCATCCCCCCACATACTCATTTACATCCCCTCTTATGTTGTTCACTGCTATGACCAACATCTTATCATGTTATCCCCTTTCATAGTCCCTCTCATCCACTCTTATGGCATCTCCAGCAGTTTAATTCCCTGTCTTACTCCATTTGGGCATCAAATTCTCCCACACATTCCGACGCACATTCCCACGTATGCCCTCATCTGCTATACCCTCCCCTGCTATACCCTCCCCCATCCTGACAAGGTACCCCAGATCATTCTCTTTCATACGCGATCATTACCCCACATGCTATGCCTTCTCCAATCCCTCCCTCCACTCCTCTTTCCTGCTCTCTCTTATGCCCTCCCCTGCTATACCGTCACCTATCACACTCTCTCATTCTGTTGCATTCTGTTTTGCATCCCTTCTTCTGTCATCTCATGCCATCCAATCACCCAGCGGTGGTTTGATGCCCTCTCATTTACTATCACGCCGTATCTTTCCCTCACATGCAGTTTTGTCGGCCCTCAAACATTGCGAATAAAAATTCTTGTCCCTTCACTTCATCTCTAATCCCTAACCCTACCCCCTCTCCCCCTCTTTTTCTCTCCTATCTCCTGTGATTCCCTCTTTATCGATCCCAAATGCACAACGTCCCCTCCTATCCCCCCTCAATCTCTGTGCTTATGCATTAATTTCCCGTCCGATGCTTAGCCATTCTCTACCTTGCATTCTTTTCCCATTCCGCCCAATCCCTCTTAACCTCTCCTATTGTAGGTGTCCATCCCATGCCATGCCATGGCATGGCTTGCATTGCTATGCGACGTGGTGCCATGATCCTCCATCACATAATATAATAGGTTTCCACTGTGACATGCCATGCCATGCCATGCTATGCCACACCACACCACACCACCACACCACACCACACCACACCACTCTAAATCGTTTTATAAAGAACACATGATCATATAATTCCCACATCACATTTCGTTCCACCGACCTACCCTTTCCGAACCTGCCCTCCAGACTCGACGACCGAGTGAGGCTCGGGTGGAAGCTGACAGCTAAGAGAAGCGGCCAGGTGGCAGCGGCTTCCTGCTGTCCTACGACACTCCCGAGGGCGCCAAGTAGCTCTCTGCACGCTGCCTGCTGCTCACCGTGCCCACATACGTTGCTGCTGACCTCCTCAAGCCCTACTCGGTGAGCATTCCCCCTGCTCTCTTGCAAACGTGCCTTGGGCAGCTGCACCCGCGCACCCAGGGGATCGTCACTCTGGTTAAGTAGGATGTTTGGGGAGGAGTGGGATGAAGGAGCCTACGGAGTACTAAACACGAGGTGGGTGGGAAGTGAAGGGAGCTCAAGGGCTTTGGGCAGCTGCACCCGCGCACCCAGGGAATCGTCACTCTGGGTGAGGCATAGGTTGCCAGGCAAGCTTGAGGTTGGTTGGGGGATGGTTCACAGAGATGGTTGAGGGGATGGGCGAGAGGGATGGGCGGGAGGGATGGACGAGAGGGATGGTTGAGAGAGGGGGGAGCCTAGGCGATACCGGCAGACCGCATCTAGTATACTAATCTGTTCCACGATATATCTCACTTTTTCCCTGCCTGGGCTCCATGCTCCTTGCTGTGACCACTGCCCATTCTTTTTAAGTTCAGCCACTTTCTGATACATTCTCCACCCTCCTCTGTCCCAACTGTGCTTCATACTATTGTCTGTGCCTGCCCTCCCTCCCTTGTTCTATTTCCTGTCTCCCGACCGAGCCTCATCCTCCTTGCTCTCTCCCATTGCCGTATGACCTCCCTCCCCTCCCTCTCACACCCCTTGACCCCTCACCAGGTACCATCTACAGCTCGGTGCTCTTTCCCAACCGGGCTCCGGGCGGCCGTGTGCTGCTGCTGTGCTACCTTGGGGGGGCGTGCAACACTGCCCTCACTCGTCAGCTTATCTGACCTCATAGCCCTACTCTCACCTACTCTCATTATCGTTCAGAGCTTGAGACCTCTGCTGTGATGTAGCATAATAGTTCTACCCCATTCCTCCTATTTTCGAACCCCCAGAGTCCTTCAACAGCGTATGGGTGATGCAGTCAACATCTACCTAGGGAAGGTCTACACTAATGTAAGCGTGGCGAGGGAGGAACTGTTGTTGTTCTGTCGGCAGCATATGATTGTGCCGCGCTTTCTTTATAGCTGCCCAAACCTCATAGTGTTGCAGTGTAACACAGTGCACCGCCATCCGACTGTGGCGTTGCACAGTGAGGAGGATGGGCTGTGCTCATTTCGTGTTGTCATAAGGGGAGTTGGTAGCGGCAGCCTCGAGGTAACGGTGGCAAGATTAGAGCATGACGTTTGGTGTACCGCCAGCCGTGCAATTGTCTGAGTAGAGGTTGTTATGAGATAGCGCTGTTGTGCAATGAGATATCATGAAAAGCAAGATGACTTGGAGGGGTAGGACAGGTTGGCACATTTGCATGGGCACAGTGTAGATCGTGAGATGCTGTATAAGCTAATGGCGTGTTGTATTTCAAACCATTGTTAGCTCCAGGTTTGTAGAACTACGATTACCCAAACATCACAGGACAAATACACATGGCTTCGCGACAAGAGGTTTCTGTATGTGGTTGTTATGGAGTTCGAGAAATCCCGATGCATGGCAAACACGAACATAACACTTCCCTTCCCACATCTTGTTGTATAAATGCCCACCAACCATGACTTTTCAATCATGAGTCATGACACACTAGGCAAGCTGGGCCATGTTGTTGTATGCTCACTAGATGCTCACCTATTATTGTCATGCTTGTCACACTAGGCTTGACTTTCAGAATGTACATAACGTTAACTGTCAACACCATCTTGTGCTCCTACTGTGGACAAACACTGGTGGTCATTGCCCTTTTCTGCCTACGGTACTTCTCTTGCTTTTGCCCATTCTGTCACTCTCTCTTCCTATCCCCAGCTTCTCAGGTTGATTCGTGATTAATTACCGGTATAAGTGCAGGACGCCAGGTGCGCTATATCCGGGATGAGACACCTTGTGTTCTGGGCTCTTGCTACCGATGAGTTTTAGGGGCTGTATGCTCTCTTTTTGTGCGTGAAATAGAATATCCTGCGTAGCATGTTACGAACGAAACCAGCCTATCTGATTTACAGGGTGGAATGTGAGTCACACACACAATTTAATGTGAACCTAGCAAGTGTATGCTTGACTAATTGTGCTGATGGTTATATAGATATGTAAACCTACAAGAGGAGGATCTGTGGGACGCACGTTTGAAGTCTGCCACACCCACGCTATGGTCACAATCCTTATATTTTAAACAAGACATAATGCATACCTAATACTGCTGATTATTGCCATCACCGTTCTCAGCTCCACCCTGTTCTGTTGACCAAGTACGAACTCCAGTCACCAACCCGTCCACCCGACTCTGCTGTGGCAGACCTACATGGCTCCAACGGTTTAGGATGCCTCCAGCGTTCTCCTGCATTGGCATCCCATACAATCCCCACCGTTGATCGATACCACTGTTACTAAATTGCCTTTGTAACAACCCTCCCATTCCCTGCTGCCCGCCCATTCCCTGCTGCCCGCCCATTCCCTGCTGCCCGCACCTTCCCTGCTGCCCACCCCTTCCCTGAGGCCCTCCCATTCCCTGTGGCCCTCCCAATATCTGCGGCTCTCCCATTCTCTGCCGCCCAACCATTCTCTGCTGCCCGCCCATTCCCTGCTGCCCGCCCTGTCCCTGCTGCCCGCCCATCCCCTGCTGCCCGGCCAAACCCTGCTGCCCGCCCCTTCTCTGTGCCCCTCCCATTCCCTGTGCCGCTCCCATTCCCTGTGCCCCTCCCATTCCCTGTGCCCCTTCCAGTCCCTGTGCCCCTCCCATTCCATGTGCCCCTCCCATTCCCTGTGCCCCTCCCATTCCCTGTGCCCCTCCCACTCCCTGTGCCCCTCCCATTCCCTGTGCCCCTCCCATTCCCTGTGCCCCTCCCATTCCCTGTGCCCCTCCCATTCCCTGTGCCCCTCCCATTCCCTGTGCCCCTCCCATTCCCTGTGGCCCTCCCATTCCCTGTGGCCCTCCCATTCCCTGTGCCCCTCCCATTCCCTGTGCCCCTCCCATTCCCTGTGCCCCTCCCATTCCCTGTGCCCTCCCATTCCCTGTGCCCCTCCCATTCCCTGTGCCCCTCCCATTCCCTGTGCCCCTCCCATTCCCTGTGCCCCTCCCATTCCCTGTGCCCCTCCCATTCCCTGTGCCCCTCCCATTCCCTGTGGCCCTCCCATTCCCTGTGGCCCTCCCAATGTCTGCGGCTCTCTCATTCTCTGCCGCCCTCCCATTCCCTGCTGCTCGCCCATTCCCTGCTGCCCTCCCAAACAATCTGCCCCCCCCATTCCCTGCTGCCAACCCATTCCCAGTGCCCCCCCCATTCCCTCCTGCCAACCCATTCCCTGTGGCCCTTCCATTCCCTGCTGCCAACCCATACCCAGTGGTCCCCCCATTCCCTGCTGCCCACACGTGCCATGCTGCCCTTGCATTCCCGGCTGCCCTTCCAACCCTTGAAGCCCTCCCGTTTCCTGCTGCCCATCCCTACCTTGCTGCCCTCCCCTTCCTTGCCTCCCTCCTCTCCCTTGCTGCCCTCCCCTTCCTTGCCTCCCTCCTCTCCCTTGCTGCCCTCCCCTTCCTTGCCTCCCTCCTCTCCCTTGCTGCCCTCCCCTTCCTTGCCTCCCTCCTCTCCCTTGCTGCCCGCCCCTTCCTTGCCTCCCTCCTCTCCCTTGCTGCCCTCCCCTTCCTTGCCTCCCTCCTCTCCCTTGCTGCCCTCCCCTTCCTTGCCTCCCTCCTCTCCCTTGCTGCCCGCCCCTTCTTTGGCGCCCTCCCCTATCAGGACCTTCCAAACAATCTGCGCCTCCACCTTCTTCTGTGGAAGACACCACCCCGGACCTGCCTCTACCTCTCCCTCCACCCCTTCCCTGTTGACTTCCACCTCGACCACGCCCTTCCTCCGAACGCCCCACACGCACATCGTCGTCGCCTACGTGCCCCACCACTTCCCTCTGTATGTTGAGACATTGCAACCTCCGTAATCGCCCCCGAACCACGTCGTTCGCACTCCTCAGGCCACCCCCCCTCGAAGTTCCCTCACCTGTACTACTTCCTTGTGCACCGCCCAAGTGCAACCCCTCGGAACCGGCCCCCATATCATCCGTCGCTGTTTCGGGAGGGAGATCCCCGGCAGGTACAGGCACCCTCCCAAATATTTCCGTCAACACCGAATCTGCCGGTGTGCTCCCATTCTCCTCTCCATCCCCCTCATCTTCCCCGCTGCCCGACTCCTCGTCCGGTTCGCTCTCATCGTCACTCTCACCAGTGGTATGAATACAACGAATACCTCTCCGATGACTTCGGTTACATGCGCTACAAGGGGCTACATGTACCGCGCCGTCCGCCGTGGTCATCGTCTGCACAGCCAATTGCCCTGCTGGGGTTTGTAATGCCTCCCACAACACCCGGTTCGCAGCCCGGACCTCACATGTCCTAGAGTTATGCCCCATCTCACCACATTTGCCACACTTACGCAGTTTGATAGGGTCGACCTCTCTTGTCGAGCGAATCCTGTTCTTTTTTGGCCGGCCCGCCCTTTTGGAGTAGACTGGCTGTAGAGTAATGCCATCCGGGATCACTGACGTGGGGTCGAGGGTCCGAATCGGGGTCTTGTACACCTGCTGCAGCGCCGAAACCGTATGGCTGTTGTGTATTACAGCATGGGCCTTGTGCCCTGCATTCTTGAACACAGCAAAAATGTGGACGCACGGCAGCCCATACTCCCTGTTGTTGGGGTATGGGGGTATTGGTGTCGTGGAATAGGGTGGTTGGTTAGTGAAATGATTGGTCAAAGTAACACATACACATAGTCGTGCGCTCAAGCTGTAGACGTAAAGAAACAGTCCCATATGTGGCATACAGTCCCTCCCATCCATGGCTACCACTTTTTCCCTTGCTGCCCCCCCTTATGTTGTCGTCCCCCTTTCGCATGCTGCCCTACATTCGCTTGCTGATCCAGCCCGTGTTGTTTGGCACAATATCCCTCCCTCCATCGATCTGACCCCCTCTCCTACTGCCCCCCTTTCCATTGTTGCCCTCCTATGCCCTTCCTTGCTGACCCCATTTCTTACTGCCCCCATCTCCCTTGATGCCCTGCAAGCTCCCCCCCCCCCCCCGCCCCCATGCTGTCTTCACATTCCCTCGTGCTCCCCAAACCTTGCTGCCCCCATTCCCTTGCTGCCTGCCCTACTTATTGCACCCCTTGCCCTTGCTGGGCTCCCATGTCTTACCTGGTGTAACCACACGTGCAACTGGTTGCTGAAGGATTGTTGGGGTTAATAGTCATGACTCTCGATTCCACCTTCAGCTCCCCCTCTCCTCGGCTCACAACGAACCGGTTCTCGTCGGACCCTTCAGCATCGTATCTCTTCCCTTCGTCGCAGTTTGCCTTGATAATTGGTCGTGTCCTTGGCGGGAAGACCGCATCAGTGAGTTGTGAGTACTCGAGGCGCCTCTTTTCAATACTCTTTGAGAGCTTGGCCGTCAAGAGGTGCAACACTTGAGGGGGACTTTTGTCACGCAGCCCTGAGAGTGATGCGTGGTGTGACTCAACGGGGTTGGAGGTATTGCTGCCAAAACGCGGAGCACCAAAGTGAGCCGAGGCCCACTTCTTATGCAATTCGTTGTCAACAAGATATGCCTTCCCACCAGGGCATTCTTGCTCGATTTTCTCCATCGTTTTGTGGTAAACCAATGGAGTAAGAGCCGCTGCAGCTGCGAGGATCCTCCCATCCAAGTCTGTCCGAAACTTGTTTTTGAAATTGCGCACGAAATGAGTGATGCAATATGACTCCCGTATTAGGGGGAGACAAGCTGCTGTCGCCGACTTCCATGCACCTCCCCTATCATGCATAATCACAAAATTGGGGGAGTTCACCTCCGGTACTGCCTCTAGCAAGAGTTGAAAGAGGAAGGTACACGACTGCTTGTTCTCGCCCTCGACCCACGCACACCCCAACCTAACAAGCTTGTGTTGACTGTCCAGCATGCAAATGTTCAAAGTGTAACCCCCCCATCTCGTCTTATTATGACAACCATCTGCAAAAAGGATAGGCAAACAGTTCATCACAGACTCCTTGGCACCTGGATAGATGACACCGGCCTAGTAGAAGTTGTTACCCCGCCTCACCAATGACACTTTACACGACGGGTTTTCGACCTCAAACTTTCTCAGCAGGTCCTCCATGTACTCGAATCCTTTATCTCCCCCAAAAAGCTCATCATCACTCAACTCCCAAAGCACCTCCCGTGCGAGAGTATAAGAACACTGCACACCCAGCACCTGATGAACACGGCTCATCAACGCTGCCGGTCTAACCTCGCCGTGCATTCTCATCTCACGTGCAACCTCTTTCACCTCTTCCCGTTGGACCCTAGCTGCACCGACTGTACACCTATCCGCATGCTCCAAATGAGCTGTCGTGACCCTGAGGTTATCACAAACAGGCCCTCGCACGATGATACGAAAAGGGCATAGCCCGGCGTCACTACTCACCTCACGTTTGGGCCAACCCTTCCCCTGCATACTCTTGCATCGCACCTCAATGAGATTGCTACGATTGTAATGAAAGTATGGAGATACCATCTGTTGCCGACAGTACAGCCGCACATCTGCCCTCGCCGCGTCTGCAGTAGAATAGACTTTCCCTAGGTGGATGTTGACTGCATCATTCTCCTGCATCTCAAAGGTACTGGGGTGGCAAAAGAATGAGAGGAGAGACATACATAAAACACCTCGAGTGCATAAGTTGTAGTATTGGTGTTGCTAGCATACGCTGGAACACAACAAAATAACACGTGATATGATAATCATTGCGTTGGGAAACGGGTTCGTACCTGGAACGCAGTAGGCGAAACATGATGCCAGAGGCTGGACCCTGGCCCTGCAAGAGGGGAGATAGGGAATTATGCAGCAGAGAGAGGGGGGGGAGGGGGGGGGGGGCGGGGAAATCGGAGTAGGATGGGATACTAGCGTGAGAGAGTGTGGGGAGGGTAATGCAAGTGCACAGCGAGACAATCATGACTAGTGCGCAGAAGATAGAGAGGGCAGGGTAGATAGAACGGTAGGGATTGAGAGATAGCGGGAGGGGATGAGAGAGCGAACTCGCTCAGCGGTCTCGCGTTGCGCGTAGGGTTACGCAACAAAGAGAGGCAGGGCAGGGAAATTTGAGTAGGGTGCGAACAAGTGTGTCAGTGCAGCAGAGAGAGGGAGAGTGGGGACGAAAATGCAGGTAGGTAGCAAGACAATCGTGACGGTTACGCAGCAGAGTATGGCAGGGCCCCAAAATCAGAGTAGGGTGCGAGACAAGCGTGAGGGAGTGGAAAGGGAGAGAGTGAGTCGGGAGGTTTTTGGAAAATGGCAACGAGGCAATTGTGAGGGTTACGCCACACAGAGAGAGAGGGAGGGTACCTGGAAACTAGTTGCAGTAGAGCGACTCCACCAGGTTCCTGTTGAAGTTGGGGTTGCCCCGCCGCACGTGGCTCAGAATGCACATGAACAGCACCGCCAGGCGCTGCGCGCTGTGATTCGGAGGGTGGTGGAGGGGTAGGGGAAAGAGATGGAACAGGGGTAGGGGTATGGGAGCGAGGACAGGAACGAGGATGAGAGGTGGGACAGGGGTTATGACAATGAAGGGCATACGAGGGGATGAAAGTGTAAGTGACAGGGGATGAGGGTGAAGAACAGGGGAGAAGACAGCGTGTGATGGGGAGCGAGCATTCCGCAAGCGCATAGCGCTGGCCGCGAGAGAGGCGCGAGAGATAGAGGAAAGGGCGGACCAGGAGTGGAGGGTATGGGCTGCAAATAGAGAATCAGATGAGGGGACAGGTTCAGGGAGTGATTGGGTTCAGGAGATGGAAGGGGACAGGGAGCAGCGGAGGGGGTTGAGTGCGGTTGAGACGGAGGATGGGGAGGAAGGCGAGGAGAGGAAGCGGAGTGAGGAGAGCAAGAGGGTGGGGTTGATGGGGGGCCTTAGTGGCCGATTAGGTTCAGGTTTGATGGGCCGAAGGGGTTCTGGTATGGTGGTGGATGTTGGTAGGCCCAATGATGAAGCAGAGGAGGATGAGGAGGAGGGAGATGGTGAGCGTAGCGAGCATAGTGACGATCATAGTGAGCAGCGGGAGAATGAGGAGTGGTCAGGTTCGGACAGGGGCTTGGCAGTGACCGTGGTTCGGCAGGAGTTTTGGCTCCAGAGCTTACACCCCACGGGAGCTGGAGGGGTGATGACGTCACCCTTCTGGGCAGTTTCAGGGGTGATGATGCGTTAACTCCCCTGGGCAGCTGGGGGGGCGAAGGGGAACTTACCCCGGTTTGGAGGGGTGAAGGGGAGATTACCCCCCAGCGAAGCGGGGACTGGGGAGAAGAGGCAGAGAGGGAGAGGGAGAGGGAGATGGAGGAAGAGGTGGAGGGGGTTTGGACACCTGTGCTAACCCCTCAGGGCAGTTGGAGGGGGGACATGTCAGGGAGCGAGAGAGGGAAGGGTCGGAAGGGGAAGGGTCTGTAATTGAGTTGCATCAGAGGGAGGGGGATTTGACAAGGGAGCTGGAAAGACAAGGGGGAGAGGGAAGGGGTTTTGACGCCTGAGTTGTCGCCTCAGGGGAGTTGGAGGGGAGAATTTTTGGGGAGTGGGAGGAGGGAAGGGTGGGACGGGCTGGTGGGGGAGAGAGAGGGTAGGTACGAGGATGAGAGGGGGAGTGAGGAGGGAAATGAGAGGAGGAGTGAGGAGGGAAGTGAGAGGGGGAGTGAGGGGTCTAGGGGTGAAGAAGAGGAGAGGGAGAGGCAGTGGGAGAGTCTGAGGGACGGGGAAGAGGAGGGGAGTGTGAGAGATGAGGATGAGGAGATGGAGAGAGGGGAGAGTGAGGAGGAACGTGAGGGAGAGAGTGCGGAGGAAGAGAGGGAAAGACAATGGGCCGAGATGCATGCTGGTAGCGAGGAAGGGAGTGAGGATGGAAGTTGACGGGAGGATGGAGAGCGAAGATGAAGAAGTGGAGGAATGAGAGGTGATGGGGGCGAGGGAGTAAACAGAGAAGGGTTTGGGAAGACGAAGAGGAGGAGCAGGAGGAGGAGGAGGAACAGGAGGAGCAGTAGCAGGAGAAGGGATAATATTAGGAGGAACGTTTGAGTGAGGGCGAGTTGAGGGAAGAGGCAACGCATGCGAGACAGGCGCTATGCGCCCAGTGGCGATAATTCAGAATTTCGAAGAATGGATAGATTTGAGTAGGTTCAGCATATAGGGAAGAGAAAGGGAGTGAGACGCACCTCTGATACGGATCAGCTGTAACTCGAGCTTCCGTGAATTTGATGGGGGGTCATAAGTCTGCTAAGAAGTCCTTACTAAGTTAGTGTCGAGTAGGGCTAGAGCAGGATGACGGGGAGCAATCTGATGGAGTTTGCAGGTTGGGTTGATCTTAGTGTGCACGCGGTGTACAATACGCTTGGTTCTGGTTCGGTTGAGTGGCGTACGTGGTTCAGGAGGACGTGGGTGCATCACAGCGCGTGGATTGGTTTGGCGCGAGCGGGAAACCGTCAAATTAGGGTCATGTCAGAGCTGATTTCATCAAAGTTACCATTCGCGTGATGGGCTGCTAGTCTATAGTTACCAAACGTGTTAAGCTAGTTACCAAACGCGTTAAGCGAGTTACCAAATACGTTAAGCGGGTTACCAAACGTGATGAAGTCGTTATCGTACGTGTTACAGTGCCCCATGTAAGTTACCATTCACATATTTTCCCTAATATTTATACAGCTCAAGGTTCCACCTGTTGATTCGCGGTCCGTAACGGTTCGCAGTTTCCATTATTTTTAGAGTTATGAAGTCAATCTTAAACAATTAGCATAGCATCAGCTGCTTGTTGAAAATCACTCTGTTTCCACAACAGACGTGATTCTAAGGAGCACACTGGACTTCGGTTGAAGGATACGCCGAGCCACGTGGCGTTCAAGGGCAGGCGGTGCTCCCTTCCTGTGCTTGTACGGGCCAAACCCAAAGCAGACTCGCGCGGCGCAAGAATGATCCTCTCGACTACAATCGCAGCCGTCGAGTGGGTGTCAAGCCAAACATCGACGTCACAAACACATCTGACATCTCAAGAAACCGCGAATTTCACCACCTCCTCTGACAATCACCAAGCAAGCTAGACTGTAGGACCAGATTCCAGAAGCAAAGATTTGCACTTGGTCTGAATTCACAATTTCACAGATTCACACCTTCAGACTCACAGCATTCCGCCATCATTCACAGATTCGCAGGCTCGAGTAAAACATTTTAGCAGGACAGCCATAACCAGCCAATACATTGGCAAGCAGCAGCCTGTGAATCTGCGACATCATCCTTCGCCGATTTCCTCTCTTCTTGCAACGATCTTTCTTGCCAAGCGTCATGGCGTTTACCATTTCCACTCAGCCTACTACCCCTTACGAGGGACAAAAGCCTGGGACCTCGGGTCTGAGGAAGAAGGTAGCGCTCTTGCTTTGTTCACGCAAAACAAGCTGATAATCCCGACGAATTTTCATCTTATAAGCAAATTCTGGTTGCATTCGTCGTGTTACCAGGTTACGGTCTTCCAACAGCCGAATTACCTGGCGAATTTCGTCCAGGCAACCTTCAATTCGCTTCCCGCTGACAAGATTCAGGGTAAACATGCAATCTATATTCTCTTTCTGATGTCAGTCTCTTTTCCCAACCCTCAGACGTATGGATTGTCAGACTTAGGGACCAAATCTCCGTTTCTTCTTTTGATTACTTCAACCTTTAGAAAACATCAGATGTCCGCTTTTCTGATTCTGACATGATCCAATCTATTTCCTCTCCTGTTCAGGCTGCACTCTCGTGGTTTCCGGCGACGGTCGGTACTATTCCAAGGACGCGGTTCAGGTAACGCCGGACTCCGCTCTTACAGACCATCACATCCATCCGCGTACCTTTCGTGTCCTTCAAATCCCTGACCGGTCTGCTGGCATAATGAACTTCTCTGGGTCTAGACGACTTGAATCCATGGGGGCTTCATGTTATTATGACTCGAATTCAGAATGACTCGAATTCGTGACTACTTGAGTCCATGACGACGTGATTCTTTGTCGACGCCTTGAATGCATGACAGATCATCGCCAAGCTCGCAGCCGGTAATGGAGTTCGCCGGATCTGGGTGGGTCAGGACAGCCTCCTCTCCACGCCAGCTGTGTCTGGAATCATCCGCGATCGCGTCGGCATCCAGGTAAATATATGGCATTCTTATTCCACTATCAGATTGGAATTCTAGATTCCGGTCGAGAAACCTCTGCAAGTCTATATATTTTTTCGTGAGCTGGGAGTGATTGGTTATGCCTGACAGCACTACCTCCTGTCACCCGGCTGCCTGAAACAGGGGGACAAGGCGTACGGAGCGTTCATCCTCACAGCGAGCCACAACCCCGGTGGGCCGCATGAGGACTTTGGCATCAAGTACAACTGCGAGAACGGAGGGCCGGCTCCCGAAGGCCTGACCAACCAGATCTACCAGCACACCACTACCATCTCCGAGCTTAAGATCGCTGAAGGGCTACCCGAGGTACGTTAGTTAGCCTCCCTCAATGACCCACCATGAAGTCTGGGGCTTTATGTACATGCATGCGAGCGTAGGCCCAGCTCGCGAAGGCCCAGCTCGCGAAGGCCCAGCTCGCGTAGGCCCAGCTCGCGAAGGCCCAGCTCGCGAAGCCCCAGCTCGCGAAGGCCCAGCTCGCGTAGGCCCAGCTCGCGTAGGCCCAGCTCGCGTAGGCCCAGCTCGCGTAGGCCCAGCTCGCCTAGGCCAGACCAACCAGATCTACCAGCACACCACAACCGTCTCCGAGCTCAAGATCGCTGAAGGGCTACCCGAGGTACGTTATTGAGGTTCCATTAGACATCCCCCATGAAGTCTTGGGACTAAAGTACAGGTGTGGGAGCGTAGGCTCGCCTCCTGAAGGCCCGTCCAACCAGATCTACCAGCACACCACGACCGTCTCCGAGCTCAAAATCGCTGAAGGCCTTCCCGAGGTACGTTCGTGAGTCCCCCTCAATGACACCCCATGAAGACTGCAACGGCTTTGTCTGACTGAAATAGAAGCATTGTGAACACAAGGCATGCTGAATTCCTCCTGGTGCTCCCTCCTTATGCATTCCTGGCTTCCCGCGGCAGGTGGACATCGGCACCATCGGGGAGTCTGAATGGCCTGCAGTCCTTTGATGGTCTGAATGGCAAGTTCGAGGTGGAGGTGTTTGACTCCTCTGTGCTTTGTACCTTATGCGCTTGCTGCATTCTTCTCTTGCCTCTCTCGTGGCCATTGCAGGTGGACATCAGCACCATTGGCCTGCAGTCCTTTGATGGTCCAAATGGCAAGTTCGAGGTGGAGGTGTTCGATTCTGCTGAGGACTACATCAAGCTCATGAAGTCAGTCGCTACTACCATATAATAACTTTTGTTTTTCTTTTTCTTTCCTTCCTTCCTCTTCAATAATGAACCAAAGAAACATGCTGAAGACAACATGAGAATGATGACATCGGTCCTCTGTTCTCGTTTCCCCCTTCTGTCGTCCCCTTCGTCGTTAGCTTGCATCCCTTCAATCAATCCTGGGATTTTTTTTTTTTTTTTTTTTTTCCATTGGTGCAGAACTTTGTTCATTCCATTCACAACGCAGTGCTTTCCTTCCCTCCTAACGTGATGACATTCGCCTCACACTGCCGTTGCTACTGCTGCTGCCGCAGGACCATCTTCGACTTTGATGCCATCCGGGGGCTCCTCAAGAACCCCAAGTTCGCATTCTTGTACGTCTCTACGCCCTGGCAAGCAATGTTTTTGTCTTGTATTGTCTTTGCCTTCTAAAGCAGAAATTGTTTAGGGACGTTTGTAAGCATCAAAGAAGACGAGCAAAAGGATCTTGAATTGAACTGATGGCACTTGCATGCTTTCATGTTACTTCATGGGACGAAACGGTGACATCATTCTATTCCCCTGATACCCGAACTCGTATTGTTTACTGTTTCCTGCTTCTCGCAGGTTGGATGGGCTGCATGGCGTGGCGGGAGCATACGTGGCGAATCTTTTCTAAGTCAACTCACGAGCCATTGTTTCTCTTCACCTTTTATTGCTTCTTGCATCTCGCAGGTTGGACGGGCTGCACGGTGTGGCGGGAGCATACGCGGAGAAGCTGTTTGTGCGTGAGCTGGGAGTGCCAGCCTCGTCCCTCGTCAACTGCGTGCCAAAGGTACGTCCTGCTTCTTGCTGTATGATCCCACATTTTGCTCCGCACTCCTGCATTCTGCTTGAAACTCTCACCCGCAGTTCCACAATCCCACCCGCTGCCTGACAATCGCACTCCCGTCCTCCATCCTTAGTAGAAAGATTCTTTTTAGTAGCCACCCCTGTCATGACTCTTCTTCCCTACGGCAGGAGGACTTTAGTGGCGGCCACCCCGACCCCAACCTGGCATATGCACATGACCTGGTGGAGGCAACGGGGCTGGGCAAGCACATATGCCCTCACACTCCCATATCATAACTCTATCTCTATTTCCCGTCTCGCATCTTCCCTATGTCACGAGGACTTCGGTGGTGGGCACCTTGACCCCAACCTGACGTGCGCGCATGACCTGCTAGAGGCCATGGGGCTGGGCAAGCACCAATATCACCCCACCTCCCCCTCCCGTTATCCTCTCCCCACCGCTTCATCCCTTCTTTCAGGAGGACTTCGGAGGCGGCCATCCCGACCCCAACCTGACCTACGCGCATGACCTGGTGGAGGCCATGGGGCTGGGCAAGCACCAGCCCGCTCAGGAGCCGCCTGAATTCGGCGCTGCCTGTGACGGCGATGCTGATCGCAACATGGTTCTGGGCAAAAGGTATGTAACGGTGTGGTGCTTGGGGTCCTCCTCGGTGGCCATCATAGCAGCCAACGCAGTGGCCTGGCCAGAGTCAAAGCTGGTGCATTGCCTGGGAGACGTCTTGGTTCCGTGCATCCATTCCCCTTGATGCTTGCTTACCAGCCTGCCTCAACATGTTCTTTGTGGCGCGGCGCCCTCTGACTCGGTTGCTATGCTATCATACCAGCCAATGCCCTGGCCAACATCCCCTATTTCAATAGCGGGCGGATAAGTTAAAAACTGGTGCATTGCCTTGAACTCATCTCAATACCGTCAGGTTCTTTCGTCTGCCCTGTCCTGCCAGGTTCTTCGTGACGCCGTCTGACTCGGTGGCTATCATAGCAGCCAACGCGGAGGCCAGCATCCCCTACTTCAAGGGCGGGCTCAAGGGCGTAGCCAGGAGCATGCCCACGTCTGCGGCTCTCGATGTTGTCGCCAAGGAACTCGGTCTCAAGTTCTTTGAGGTAGGGATCCCTTTGCACTCCTCTCCACCGCTCTGTAAGTAGCCAGGAGGCCAGCGTCCCCTACTTCAAGGGCGGGCTCAAGGGCGTGGCCAGGAGCATGCCCACGTCCACTGCTCTGGATGTTGTCGCCAAGGAGCTCGGTCTCAAGTTCTTTGAGGTAGGTTATTTATTGCACTCCACGCCTCTGCACTCCTCTCCATCCCTCTGTAAGTCTCCTCGTGTACTTCAAGGGCGGGCTCAAGGGCGTGGCCAGGAGCATGCCCACGTCCGCTGCTCTGGATGTCGTGGCCAAGGAGCTTGGACTCAAGTTCTTTGAGGTAGGTAAATGCTCTTTGCTGGACTCCTCTCCGTTGCTTTGGAAGTATCCTCGTGTACTTCAAGGGCGTTGCCAGGAGCACGCCCAAGGAGCTGGGATTCAAGTTTTGCGAGAGCCATCTTGTGTACTTGCCCTGTTTGCTTCTGTGATTTCAGGTGCCGACCGGGTGGAAGTTCTTTGGCAACCTCATGGATGCTGTCCCGCGGGCATGTGCTCTATCTGCGGGGAAGAGAGCTCAGATACAGCAGACTGAACAGTTCTCCTGATTCTTTCTCCTGTGGTTTATTCGCTGCTGCTTCTGGTGCGTGCAGGTGCCGACCGGGTGGAAGTTCTTTGGCAACCTCATGGATGCGGGCATGTGCTCTGTGTGTGGTGAAGAGAGCTTTGGCACAGGTGAGGTTTGGTCATGTGATTCGGAAGAGAGCTTCACCAGGAAGATTCGGCACGCCTGATCTGGCAGAACGAGGGATTTCATTTACCCTGTCATGACTTATCCTCATGTGCCACTCGTGAGCCAGGAATGCTGATTGGGGATGTGAACGTCGTAATTCCTGGGAGTGCAATCCTCGATCTACGACTCCCCTTTTCGCCTGATGTTATACCTCCAGGATCCGACCATATCATATAGAAGGACGGCATGTGGGCGATTCTAGTGTGCCTCTCTATCCTGGCGAATCGGAACCAAGGCAGCAGGGAAGGGCAGCTGGTGCTGATTAGTCTCCCCCTTCCCCCTCACTTTGAACCTCCTGTAACCCCCACTGTGCTGTGCATTGGTTTGCTGTGCGTTGCTCTGTGCTCACCCAGGGTCGGACCACATCAGGGAGAAGGACGGCATGTGGGCTATTCTGGCCTGGCTCTCCATCTTGGCCAACAGGAACAGTGGCAGCAGTGAGGGGCAGCTGGTGACGGTGGAGGAGATTGTGAGACAGCACTGGGCCAAGTATGGCCGGCACTTCTACACCCGATACGACTATGAGGTGAGATGCGGTGAGGTGCGGTGAAAAGCTGTGAGCGGTTCTCCATCTTGGCCAACAGGGACAGCGGCAGCAGTGAAGGGCAGCTGGTGACGGTGGAGGAGATTGTGAGGCAGCACTGGGCCAAATACGGCCGGCACTTTTACACCCGATACGACTATGAGGTGAGATGCGGTGAGGTGCGGTGAAAAGCTGTGAGTGGTTCTCCATCTTGGCCAACAGGGACAGCGGCAGCAGTGAAGGGCAGCTGGTGACGGTGGAGGAGATTGTGAGGCAGCACTGGGCCAAATACGGCCGGCACTTCTACACCCGATATGACTATGAGGTATAGACTCTGTGACTGAGCCCTGCTCCTTGACCTTCGACTGCATGCGATGCTGTGGAACCGAAACCCTTGACCTGTGAATCGCTGCCTGAAGAGGGCAGTCCGTGACCGTGGAAGAGACTGTAAGGCAGCACTGTGATTGAAGTAGTGCTTTGAGACGTCTCAAAACACTACTTCAATCACCCGAAACCCTTGACCTGTGGATTGGTGCCTGAAGAGGGCAGTCCGTGACCGTGGAAGAGACTGTAAGGCAGCACTGGGCCTGGTGAAACCCATATCGAGTTGACTTTTGAGTCGACTCAAAAGTCAACTCGAGACTGTAAGGCAGCACTGGGCCTAGTGAAACCCATATCTGTTGTCCATATCAGGGAGAAGGACGGCATGTAAGATAGGAGTCTTTCCAGCGGAGCACAATGATAACTCCCCAGCGAAGCCACCCACATGTCTGTTCTCGCCTGCCTGGCTGATAGGTGCACCTACCCTGCGTCTATTTCCCTTCCTTCGTCCGTGTCTGTCAACCCCATTTCACCCACACTCTTGTTATGCAAACTCCCGTTTTGATCACTTATCACCGCTCCATGTTATCCCCCAATGCCATGTCATGATGGCAGGGAGTGGATGCAGAGGGTGCAAAGAAGCTCATGGCTAATCTTGTCGCCAACCAAGCAGACATCCCTGCACTCAACACGTGCGTTCCTAGCTCATGAGCTCATATCATCTTAACCCCATGATTACGGAGCTTTTCAATCAAAAACGCGCATGATAACTGGCACGTGCATTCATACAATATCGTGTTCTGGCGTTTTCTGGTAGCATAGCAAACGAACGTCCTCTGGTTCTGTTTCCCGTCAATATCTCACTCGATTCCGTTGTTTCCTGCTGCATTGCTGCGCTCATTTTCACCCCTCCGTGTTGCATGGGCTGTGAAGGCAGCCAAAAGCACAGCAGCGGACGTGGTGAGGGGAGACGAGTTTGAGTAGAAGGACCCCGTGGATGGCTCTGTGTCTCATGCATCTCTCACTACTCCCTTGTTTCTCTCCTTCCCTCCCCCTTTGTGTCCGCTTCCTTAACAGGGGCCAGGGCTGCGAAGGCGGCCAACAGTGCAGCAGCAGGCGTGGTGAGGGGCGGCGAGTTTGAGTACAAGGGACCTGTGGATGGCTCCGTGTCTTTTGACGCGCCTCAGAAGTCCGTGGGTGGCTCTGTCTTGCTTGCTTGCCCGTCTCACTACTCTCTTCCACCTCATTTCGAACCCCGCTACTCCAGGGCTGTGAAGGCAGCCAACAGTGCAGCAGCGGACGTGGTGAGGGGGGACGAGTTCGAATACAAGGACCCCGTGGATGGCTCTGTGTCGCTAGCCTGTCTCACTCTTCCACTGTCGCTGCCACTCCTCCACTCACATGGACCCCGACCCTCTTTTTCAACAGGGCTGTGAAGGCAGCGAACAGCGCAGCAGCGGACGTGGTGAGGGGGGACGAGTTTGAGTACAAGGACCCTGTGGATGGTTCCGTGTCAAGCCACCAGGGGATCCGGTTCTTCTTCGCTGATGGCTCCAGACTGGTAACGCCTCGTTCCTTCGTTTAATCCACATCAGTGTGCTCAAAAGCTACGTGTTTATTTACATGCTTTCTATTTTTTTTTTTTCTTTCTTTTCCTTGATCCATACCCACTCCCCTCCCCCCCCCACTCCCTTCAGATCTTCCTCATGTCGGGTATGGGACCAGTGGGAGTAACCATTACATTAGCTCCGAGGCTGGTGATTGGATCCAGATTTATCTTTCTGTGTTGTCTTGTTTCCCAACCATGAATACTTGCCTCCTCTGCCCCGCAGATCTTCCGTCTGTCGGGCACGGGGTCAGTGGGGGCGACCATCCGTGTGTACATTGAGCAATACGTGGCCGATAGCTCCAAGATTGATGGCAACCCGGCTGATGTGCTTGCTCCCCTGGTGAGTTCATTCGTTTGTTTGTTTTGTTTGCTTGTTCCAAGTCGGGTGATATGGCTGAGTTCTATATGGGTGACTTGGCTGATGTGTGTGCATTTATGTGAACAGTTTGAAACCTCGCCTTGCTGTTTTCTAGCATTCATCCATGCGTTTGTTTCTTCATTCACCCTGGTAACTTCTGCGGTATGTAATCCATCCTATCTTCTATCCACCCTGATTCTATTCTCCCTACTCCACATCAGGTTGATGTGGCTATCAAGGTGTCCAAGATTGAGGAATATACTGGCCGTACTGCACCTACCGTTATCACCTAAAACCACACTGGACCAGTCCATTTACTGGAGGTGGTTTGAAAGTGCACCATTCAAGGTTAATCTCATGGCACACTACAATCATGAGTAGCACACTACATAAAGGATGCTGAATGCATCCATTCACTCTTAGTATACTAGCTTCAAAAGGAGTACTGGCTGAGCGAGTCACTTCATAGCCATAGTGTTTGGGTGTTGCCTCTTTGTGCAAAAGAATATTTTTCCTGGAAGCCAATGTAGGATGCCATTCAGACAATTTGTCTTGTTTGATGTTTGTTTGGTCTGCAGCACCGAACAGTGTCGGGCATCGCATGAGCCCTTAGCGCGCTCAGATTCACGTTCTGGGGTGGACAGGACAGGCTGCATCAGGTTAGGCGGGATGGAGAATGAAGGGCTGAACATTTTACCACCGTACTGTACCGCCGCTTTTCGTTTCCGTCACTTACAAAACCGACTCTAATCGTGTCCTGAAGCCAATAAAACCTCATCTCTTCACCTGCGTCCCGAATACAACGCCTGCTTCCACACCGTACCATCTCGACAACGGTCGACTTACGCGTCGCGCAATAGCGCAGCCTGACACAGAAGAGTAGCACAGCGATACGAGTGGTAACGGTAATACGATCAAGCAGCTTGCAATGCAGCGTTGTTGCCGTTCACCCTGACGCGTGGTCCTTGCTTTGACGCTCAACTGATCCATCCAGCCGTTGATTCGCGTAACATTCACCCAATCCTTGGCTCTGATTCGGCAATACCTTTGTGCTGGTTCACCGGAATATTTTCTCAACCCCACTGTGGGCGATCTTACAGGATCAGAGTTATCTCGTTTGTATCTGTCCATGGATGTGCGGCCGGAAAATCCGGCAGAAGGAGCGGCGAATTCGGGACCTACTAGCCGGCTGAGCACGTACTTATCGCCGTACTACGTAGTTAATCTCCTCACCGTGCTCTCCGTTCTGCCGGTGCGGATCGCTGTGGTCTCCGGAGGCTCGTTCTCAAGAGACCTTGCGGTGCTCTACAAATGGGTAAGTCCGGAATCTCTTACTTGTGATCTGTTGGTATTATGCAGAAGAGTAAGTTCGGGTATTTAAATAAATTTGTTCGGCGACTCAATGGGTGCTGTCAGCCTCGTTTTCCATCTCTATCCGCCTCTTTCCACCGCTTTCCCCCACTTTCCACCTCTAACCTCTCACTTTTGTCTCCCTTCCGTAACTTCCCCCCCATGGTCCATGGCAGGAGCGGCATGTTCTCTTCGGCCTTCTCCTGAGCGCGTCGTACAAGGTGTGTTGTCACCTGTAACGCCTACAAGCAGCAGCACTGCGTCTCTGAAGGTGTTTAGAACGTTGATTTGTCTCCACGGCCTTTTTAGTGCATCATAGAAGGTGCGCTGTCAGCAGCAGCAAATCTTACTTCGCGCAATGCATTTCAGCAGCAGCAGCAGCACCTCGTCTAAGCCTAGTAAGAGTCCACTTGTGACATGCTTTACTCTGTATTACATGGCATGGCATGGCATGGCATGGGATGGCATGGGATGGCATGACATGACATTGCCATGTGGTGTAAACGCAGTTATGGCGAGCCAACACAGCCGAGGCAGCATTTTCATCCATCATGTTCAACACCAAGGCACGTTGTTCCCTCCTCTCCCTCCTCTTCTTCCCTTCCTTCCCTGCTGCTCAGTACAACCTTGCCTTCCTTGTATATTGCTCAGAGGCTCTCAAATCAAGCCGTCTCTCCCGCCTCTCCCCCAACCAACTCCCCAACCCCCCTCCCTCCCCTCTCCCCCCCACTCCCCTTTTGTTTGATTTTTTCTTTCAAGTTTGGAAACATTTGCTTCCCTGCCATTGCCTGCTGCTATTGCTGCAGATGATTCTCGTCGCTCTCTTGTGGGCTGTGGATCCCCGCATATGTGTCTGGTACCTCCTTGCCTTCACGTGTGAGTGTGCAACAAACCCCTGAATGACCACTTTAAAACACTTCAATGGCGCCAATCCCCGCATATGTGCCTGGTACGGTACCTCCTTGCGTTCATGCGTGAGTGTGCAAACACAATAAGTCGACTCGAGATTCTTGTTGACCTCCTGTGTTTCATGTGTTTCGCAAGTGCGTGTGTAAGAATTATACCTTCCCACTTGTTTCAACCCTTCAGTCTGCGCCTGGAACTTTATTCTCGCCATTCTCACTTTCCTGTCTGCCTTTTCCATATTCCTTCTTTCCCCTGCCTTTCCCCTCTTTCGCTTGCACTCTATGCAACACTCTTATTTTCCCTTTTCGCTACACCTTCCCCCGCCTGTCTATTTTTGAGTCGATTAAAGAAATGCGCACTATGCAACACTTTATTTTCACCTTTCCTCCACACCTCCCCCTCCTGTCCGCCTTTTTTCCAATCACCTGCGTGTGCAGTGATCTTTCTTCTTTGCCCCCAACGGTCACCAGCAACCCCATCAGGTTAGTTGACACACATGCATGCACGCACGCACACACACTCACGCGCGCACACGCACGCACACGCGCGCACACGCACGCACACGCACGCACACGCACGCACACGCATGCACACACACACACTCTCACACTCACACTCACACGCATGCACTCACGCACTCACGCACACACGCACACATGCGCGCGCGCGCACAAACACACACACACGCACACACACAGGCACTCTAACCTTCCCTCCCCCCTCCACCCACTCTCTCCCGCCTCACACACGCACACACACGGCCACGCAGTCACACACACGCGGACACACACACTCTCTCATTCACTCGCCCAATCCCCTCCGCCCTCCTCTTTCTGTTTGCCACGTCAGCATCCGACGCCTTTCTTGAGATGATCCCGCGCCAGCTGGAGCTAGTGGCGCCAGTGGAAACTGCCACGCCAGCATCCAACGTGCCATGCCTGGTCATGTTCTATGCCAGCTGGTCACCCCCGTGCCATCAGCACATGTCTCTCTTTGTTGACATTGCCAACCAGTAAGCCTCCTTGCCCCATCAACTTCTCCCAACCACGCCCACGAGTAAGTATCCCCTGCATTCCCTTGAGTCAAATAGACCACTAGTCTCCAACTGTTTCCTTCTTTGTCACCACTGACCGCCCTACACCAGTTTCCAATCTTCGGCACAGCAGCCAATTATCTTGCTGCAGCCCACTCTTCTCAATATTGTGTTCTTCGTTGCCAACTATCGCTGCAAGCTTACCGACGTTCTTCAAAGCCTTTCAGGCACTGAGTATGCTGTATTCATGTGACGAAATGTAGTGCCAACTAATGACAACAATACTGTGTCTTCCTTTGCCTTTCCTTCCCTATTTCTCCAAGGTACGGCCAAGGCCTCCAGATTCACTTTGGCCGGTTGGATGTCTCTCGATTCCCGGACGTGGCCGAGAGATTTTCTATTGATACTACCAGTGAGTGCTTCTCTTGTGTACCCCTCTGACAGGTCTGTAAGATTCTCTTTTTGAGTCGAATAAAAAATAGGCTCTTTTTTTTAGTCGACTCAAAAATAGGCTCTATTGATACTACCAGTGAGTGCTTCTCTTGATTACCCCTCTGACAGGTCTGTAAGATTCTCCATTGATTCTCCTTTCGCACACTCCCCCATCGATACTGGCAGCATGTATCTTCTGTTGTACATATCATTTCGCATGGAGTCCCCACCCCAAGATCGATGATCCATATACTGCTGGAAAATTTGTGTACCACCTTAAAACTCACATCGAGTCCCCATGATGGTTGATTTGTGGAATTTCTTTTGGGCCTTGATTTGAATTGATATTGTTGGGCAACTCGCTTGCCTTTCTATGATTTTTGAGGCACCTCAAAAATCGTCTCGAATGTTTGAGGCGCCTAAAAAAACATCTCATGACTTGCGGTTGTTTTTGGGGCATTGATTTGGATGATCTTGTTGGGGCAACTCGCTTGTCTTTCATGGGCCTTTAACACCACTGACGCACTTACAATCTCAGAGCAGTGGTTTCATGGTATCCTGGAAACAACCCGCGAGCATTGAGGTGTATTTTGAGGCGCCTCAAAATACACTTCATGGTATCCTGGAAACCCAGGTTCTTCCTCTCTCCCTTCCTCCCTCCCGCCTTCCCTCCCTCCCTCCCTCCCTCCCTCCCTCCCTCCCTCCCAGTGTTCTCCTCTCATCTTCCAACCCTCATCCTCTTCCACAACGGCACCGAAGTCAACCGCCTGCCACCGCTCACTACCGCCTCCAGCACCAGCAGCAACAGGTTCATACCCCGAGCCACGCCTTTCCTTTCCCCGTCCTCTCTGGCGCCTGGGCTCTACACACCTCCCCGGCTCACGAGAAGCATGATAGTGGGTGCGTTTCAGCTGGACTTGTGGAGAATGAAGGGTTCTCTAGCGACGTGCAAGGCAGAGAAGCAGCAGAAGGGGAGGAAGGAAGGCCAGGCACAGGGGCAGCAGCAGGGGGGGAAGGAGAATGAGCAGGAGCAGGATGAGAAGAAAGAGCGGTAGTCAAATCTTTGGATGGTCGGAGTGAGTAGCGGGGCAGCAGGGGGCAGCTCTACACTCCGCCCCGGCTCACGAGAAGCATGATAGTGGGTGCCTTTCAGCTGGACCTTTGGAGGATGAAGGGTGCTCTGGCAGCGTGCATGGCAGAGAAGAAGCAGCAGAAGGGGCGGAAGGAGGGTCAGGGGCAGGGCCAGCAGCAGGGGGAGAAGCAGCAGGAGCAGGAGGAGAAGAAAGAGCGGTAGTCAAATCGTTGGATGGTCGGAGTGAGTAGCGGGGCAGCAGGGGGCAGCTCTACACTCCTCCCCGGCTCATGCACGAGAAGCATGATAGTGGGTGCGTTTCAGCTGGACCTTTGGCGGATGAAGGGTGCTTTAGGGACGTGCAAGGCAGAGAAGCAGCAGAAGGGGAGGAAGGAGGGCCAGGCACAGGGTCAGCAGCAGGGGGAGAAGGAGCAGGAGCAGGAGGAGAAGCAAGAGAGGTAGTCGTAGGTTTGAGTGGCCAGAGTAATGAGTGAGCAGAGCTATAGGCAGCGCAGTAGCAGAGGGGGAGGGAGGAGGCTCAGGCTCGGGCGCAGCAGCAGGCGTAGAAGCAGCGGGCAGAATTAGGAGCAGGAATAGCAGGAGCCAGAGCAGGAGGGAAAGAGAGACAGGCAGGCTTCGAAATGAAGGAGCCATCATCAAGTATAGTGTCTGCTTTGCTTGAAAAGGAGGGAAAAGAGGAAAAAGGGCTGCTGTGCGTGTATAATCTGTGTTGAGCTTCTGTTACCATCTTCAGCATTTCATTTCTTACAGTATCATCCTTTCCGCTGCCCTAAGATAGTTTGGCTCATTCGAGTTACTGTTGTTATCAAATTAAATGCATGATGTTCAGCCAAACCATTGTCGGCCTGCTCCAGAGATGTCAAAGAAACGTTCTGCAGCCTCGGACGCGCAGCACAACAATGCGAACGCAGCACACCGCGAAAACCACAACAACCTGAGTTGCGATTTCGGTTGGGCTTCTCCTAAAGCCGGTAACCAAAACCAGGGACGTTGAATCCGAAACGCGTTTGAAAACCCTCCTAGTTCCGCCGCGGCGACAAACTGGAACTCAAACCCTCCTAAATCTATAGCGGCTGCGGCAATGGCGGACCCGCCGCCGCCTACCGCTCGACGCCTGGACCTAGACCTCCTAGCTGCCGCGCCACGCGGTGACTTTTGAGCCGACTCAAAAGTCACCTCGTTACAATGGCGGACCCGCCGCCGCCCACCGCGCGACGGCTGGACCTAGACCTCCTAGCTGCTGCGCCACGTGGACCTCCACACGCGGACGGGTCTGCAGCGCAAGTGGCGGCGCAAGATGCGGAGATGGGGGAAGCTATGATGGTGGTATCAGCTGCGCCCGCTGCTCCCGCGGATGGGGTGTCCGCGGCGGTGCGGAACGCGGAGATCCGGCGGGGAATCGCGGCGATCAAGGCGGAGAGCCAGCGCCAGCGGACAGCTGTCGTTCAAGTGCGTGTAGACTGCAGCTGTCCATGTTCTGTAGCTCTAATCACAGTCTTGTCGGTGTTGCTGCTGCTGCTGCTGGTGCTGCTGCTGCTGGTGCTGCTGCTGCTAGTGCTGCTGCTGCTAGTGCTGCTGCTGCTGCTGCTAGGAAGGCGTATCCACAACCTCTTGCACTTACGACTTTGTTTCTGCCAATCTACCCAAGCCATTCGTCTCTTTCCTTTTCCCAGGATGTTCTGGCAGAGAATCGGAAAAAACTGCTGGCTATCAAAGCGAAACACATGGCTGCTGCTAGTGCTGCTGCTGGGGGTGTTCCCTGGCCACGTCAGCACGATCATTGTCAGCAGCAGGTAAACGGAGAAGCTGCCTCGAGTTCAGCTAGACGCGCAGGCTCGGGAGCAGGTTCGGGGATGGCAGGTTCGGGTCTGGCGGTCCTGGGAGTTGCTGGTTCGGGCATGGCAGGTCCGGGAGCGGGAGGCTGGGGTGCAATCTCAACAGTACTGAAAGCGAATGGAATGACAGGGGAACGAGCAGGGGGAGAAAGAGCATGGGGCGCGGTAGCAGCAGGAGCAGGAGCAGGGGCAGGGGCAGGAGCAGGGGGGAATGCAGGGGGGAGTGGAGTGGGGAGTGGAGGGGGGTTCACGGGAGGGGTTGCAGGAGGGAAGGGTGGTGGTGGTGGTGAGATGGTGGCAGCTCCTCGCACCAATCCCATCAAGATGGCAGCAGTGCAGAACGTGCCTAGCTTCACCACCTGGATCTTCCTTGCCAAGTGAGTCTCGGGAGAAAGGAGGTGTTGTGGTGGGCTGGTTACGGTTCAGATGGGTACTGCTGAGATGGTGGCAGCCCCTCGCAACAATCCCATCAAGATGGCAGCCGTGCAGAACGTCCCTAGCTTCACCACCTGGATCTTCCTTGCCAAGTGAGTTCTGAGAGAATGGAGGTGACAGTGTGGGCTGGTGGGGGCTGAGCTGATATGGCTGTTGCTGATTGACACAATCCTATCGTATCATGTTGCTGGTGCAGAACGTTCCAAGCTCCACCAGACACTAGGTCCCAAGCGCGGACCACACTACACTACAGGAACGAGCAGATTCCAGACGAGCGAGCAATCACTGATGGGAGGATGCTGTGCTACGATGCGGAGAAGGAGGAGACGCCTGTGTGCAGCGCAGCAAACCTCTCCTTCCCATGTGGCCACCCCTGCACCCGCACACAGGAACGAGCAGATCCCGGATGAGCAGGCATTTGTGGGACGGAGGCGGCTGTGCTACGATGCGATGCGGAGAAGGAGGAGACGCCGGTGCGCTGCGAGTCGGAGTGTTCATGCGTTGTTCACGTGTTCCACTCCTGGTGTTCACACACACACACATGGCACAGGAACGAGCAGATCCCAGACGAGAAATCACTAGTGGGAAGGAGGCCCCTATACTACGACGCAGAGAAGGAGGAGACGATTGTGTGCAGCGAGTCAGAGGATGAGGGCCAGCCCAGAAACAGCCATGTGTGATAAGTCGATTTTTTTAGTCGACTCAATGATCGACTTTATCACACACGGCTTCGGAGACGACGGTGTGCAGCGAGTCAGAGGACGAGGGCCAGCCCAGCAGCCATCCATGCCTCGCCTTTCACGCCCCCACCCCACCCCACCCCACCTCACACCACAGGAACGAGCAGATCCCAGACGAGCAATCGCTGGTGGGGAGGAGGCGGCTGTACTACGACGCGGAGAAGGAGGAGACGACGGTGTGCAGCGAGTCGGAGTGTTCGTGCACTTCACACCCCTTCCTCCATGTGCTCACACCCTTCCAACAGGAACGAGCAGATTCCGGATGAGCAATCATTAGTGGGCAGGAGGCGCCTATACTACGATGCGGAGAAGGAGGAGACGACTGTGTGCAGCGAGTCGGAGGATGAGGGCCAGCCCAGCAGCAGCCAACTCAAGGACTTCAGTGCCGTGCAGGATGCACTCATATGGTGAGTGCACCTCACACAACCACACTCCACCGCACCCAAATCCCCGTCCCTCTGCTGTGTCTGGCTGTTCCTTAGCATCTCGCCTCGTCCCTCAAATCTCACTCCACCTTACTCCAACGCACTCCACCGCACCCAATCCCTTCCCGCTCCTGCTTCCTGCAGGAGGACCATCCAGCAGCACGGCGATTCTGGGATTGTGATTGAGCATCTCGCTTCGTCCCTGAATGCTCAGGCAGAGCAGGTTCATGTAAGTTTCCTTCTCTCTTTTTTTTTTTTTTTTTTTTTTTTTTGTCGGGGGGGGGGGGAGGGGGAAGAGTGTGTGTCAGTCTCGGCCTGGGAGAGAGCGAGGGAGATTCAGGCATTTTATGAGAAAAAACAGACATCTGCGCTACAGTCAATACAATGTCTTGCTGAGCCCATCCCCCCTTCATGCCCTCCTTCATTTTCTCCCCTTCCATGCCCCCCCTGCTGCCCCAGATGCGTCACACGGAGCTGAAAGCGCAGTACCAGGAGATTCAGACGCTTCTAGAAAAAGCAGTAAAGACAATGTCCTGCTCCCCCCCACTTTCCTTCATTTTCTCCCCTTCCATGCCCCCCCTGCTGCCCCAGATGCGTCACACGGAGCTGAAAGCGCAGTACCAGGAGATTCAGACGCTTCTAGAAAAAGCAGTAAAGACAATGTCCTGCTCCCCCCCACTTTCCTTCATTTTCTCCCCTTCCATGCCCCCCCTGCTGCCCCAGATGCGTCACACGGAGCTGAAAGCGCAGTACCAGGAGATTCAGACGCTTCTAGAAAAAGCAGTAAAGACAATGTCCTGCTCCCCCCCACTTTCCTTCATTTTCTCCCCTTCCATGCCCCCCCTGCTGCCCCAGATGCGTCACACGGAGCTGAAAGCGCAGTACCAGGAGATTCAGACGCTTCTAGAAAAAGCAGTAAAGACAATGTCCTGCTCCCCCCCACTTTCCTTCATTTTCTCCCCTTCCATGCCCCCCCTGCTGCCCCAGATGCGTCCAACGGAGCTGAAGGCGCAGTACCAGGAGATTCAGACGCTTCTAGAAAAAGCAGTAAAGACAATGTCCTGCTCCCCCCCACTTTCCTTCATTTTCTCCCCTTCCATGCCCCCCCTGCTGCCCCAGATGCGTCACACGGAGCTGAAAGCGCAGTACCAGGAGATTCAGACGCTTCTAGAAAAAGCAGTAAAGACAATGTCCTGCTCCCCCCCACTTTCCTTCATTTTCTCCCCTTCCATGCCCCCCCTGCTGCCCCAGATGCGTCACACGGAGCTGAAAGCGCAGTACCAGGAGATTCAGACGCTTCTAGAAAAAGCAGTAAAGACAATGTCCTGCTCCCCCCCACTTTCCTTCATTTTCTCCCCTTCCATGCCCCCCCTGCTGCCCCAGATGCGTCACACGGAGCTGAAAGCGCAGTACCAGGAGATTCAGACGCTTCTAGAAAAAGCAGTAAAGACAATGTCCTGCTCCCCCCCACTTTCCTTCATTTTCTCCCCTTCCATGCCCCCCCTGCTGCCCCAGATGCGTCACACGGAGCTGAAAGCGCAGTACCAGGAGATTCAGACGCTTCTAGAAAAAGCAGTAAAGACAATGTCCTGCTCCCCCCCACTTTCCTTCATTTTCTCCCCTTCCATGCCCCCCCTGCTGCCCCAGATGCGTCACACGGAGCTGAAAGCGCAGTACCAGGAGATTCAGACGCTTCTAGAAAAAGCAGTAAAGACAATGTCCTGCTCCCCCCCACTTTCCTTCATTTTCTCCCCTTCCATGCCCCCCCTGCTGCCCCAGATGCGTCACACGGAGCTGAAAGCGCAGTACCAGGAGATTCAGACGCTTCTAGAAAAAGCAGTAAAGACAATGTCCTGCTCCCCCCCACTTTCCTTCATTTTCTCCCCTTCCATGCCCCCCCTGCTGCCCCAGATGCGTCACACGGAGCTGAAAGCGCAGTACCAGGAGATTCAGACGCTTCTAGAAAAAGCAGTAAAGACAATATCCTGCTCCCCCCCACTTTCCTTCATTTTCTCCCCTTCCATGCCCCCCCTGCTGCCCCAGATGCGTCACACGGAGCTGAAAGCGCAGTACCAGGAGATTCAGACGCTTCTAGAAAAAGCAGTAAAGACAATGTCCTGCTCCCCCCCACTTTCCTTCATTTTCTCCCCTTCCATGCCCCCCCTGCTGCCCCAGATGCGTCACACGGAGCTGAAAGCGCAGTACCAGGAGATTCAGACGCTTCTAGAAAAAGCAGTAAAGACAATGTCCTGCTCCCCCCCACTTTCCTTCATTTTCTCCCCTTCCATGCCCCCCCTGCTGCCCCAGATGCGTCACACGGAGCTGAAAGCGCAGTACCAGGAGATTCAGACGCTTCTAGAAAAAGCAGTAAAGACAATGTCCTGCTCCCCCCCACTTTCCTTCATTTTCTCCCCTTCCATGCCCCCCCTGCTGCCCCAGATGCGTCACACGGAGCTGAAAGCGCAGTACCAGGAGATTCAGACGCTTATAGAAAAAGCAGTAAAGACAATGTCCTGCTCCCCCCCACTTTCCTTCATTTTCTCCCCTTCCATGCCCCCCCTGCTGCCCCAGATGCGTCACACGGAGCTGAAAGCGCAGTACCAGGAGATTCAGACGCTTCTAGAAAAAGCAGTAAAGACAATGTCCTGCTCCCCCCCACTTTCCTTCATTTTCTCCCCTTCCATGCCCCCCCTGCTGCCCCAGATGCGTCACACGGAGCTGAAAGCGCAGTACCAGGAGATTCAGACGCTTCTAGAAAAAGCAGTAAAGACAATGTCCTGCTCCCCCCCACTTTCCTTCATTTTCTCCCCTTCCATGCCCCCCCTGCTGCCCCAGATGCGTCACACGGAGCTGAAAGCGCAGTACCAGGAGATTCAGACGCTTCTAGAAAAAGCAGTAAAGACAATGTCCTGCTCCCCCCCACTTTCCTTCATTTTCTCCCCTTCCATGCCCCCCCTGCTGCCCCAGATGCGTCACACGGAGCTGAAAGCGCAGTACCAGGAGATTCAGACGCTTCTAGAAAAAGCAGTAAAGACAATGTCCTGCTCCCCCCCACTTTCCTTCATTTTCTCCCCTTCCATGCCCCCCCTGCTGCCCCAGATGCGTCACACGGAGCTGAAAGCGCAGTACCAGGAGATTCAGACGCTTCTAGAAAAAGCAGTAAAGACAATGTCCTGCTCCCCCCCACTTTCCTTCATTTTCTCCCCTTCCATGCCCCCCCTGCTGCCCCAGATGCGTCACACGGAGCTGAAAGCGCAGTACCAGGAGATTCAGACGCTTCTAGAAAAAGCAGTAAAGACAATGTCCTGCTCCCCCCCACTTTCCTTCATTTTCTCCCCTTCCATGCCCCCCCTGCTGCCCCAGATGCGTCACACGGAGCTGAAAGCGCAGTACCAGGAGATTCAGACGCTTCTAGAAAAAGCAGTAAAGACAATGTCCTGCTCCCCCCCACTTTCCTTCATTTTCTCCCCTTCCATGCCCCCCCTGCTGCCCCAGATGCGTCACACGGAGCTGAAAGCGCAGTACCAGGAGATTCAGACGCTTCTAGAAAAAGCAGTAAAGACAATGTCCTGCTCCCCCCCACTTTCCTTCATTTTCTCCCCTTCCATGCCCCCCCTGCTGCCCCAGATGCGTCACACGGAGCTGAAAGCGCAGTACCAGGAGATTCAGACGCTTCTAGAAAAAGCAGTAAAGACAATGTCCTGCTCCCCCCCACTTTCCTTCATTTTCTCCCCTTCCATGCCCCCCCTGCTGCCCCAGATGCGTCACACGGAGCTGAAAGCGCAGTACCAGGAGATTCAGACGCTTCTAGAAAAAGCAGTAAAGACAATGTCCTGCTCCCCCCCACTTTCCTTCATTTTCTCCCCTTCCATGCCCCCCCTGCTGCCCCAGATGCGTCACACGGAGCTGAAAGCGCAGTACCAGGAGATTCAGACGCTTCTAGAAAAAGCAGTAAAGACAATGTCCTGCTCCCCCCCACTTTCCTTCATTTTCTCCCCTTCCATGCCCCCCCTGCTGCCCCAGATGCGTCACACGGAGCTGAAAGCGCAGTACCAGGAGATTCAGACGCTTCTAGAAAAAGCAGTAAAGACAATGTCCTGCTCCCCCCCACTTTCCTTCATTTTCTCCCCTTCCATGCCCCCCCTGCTGCCCCAGATGCGTCCAACGGAGCTGAAGGCGCAGTACCAGGAGATTCAGACGCTTCTAGAAAAAGCAGTAAAGACAATGTCCTGCTCCCCCCCACTTTCCTTCATTTTCTCCCCTTCCATGCCCCCCCTGCTGCCCCAGATGCGTCACACGGAGCTGAAAGCGCAGTACCAGGAGATTCAGACGCTTCTAGAAAAAGCAGTAAAGACAATGTCCTGCTCCCCCCCACTTTCCTTCATTTTCTCCCCTTCCATGCCCCCCCTGCTGCCCCAGATGCGTCCAACGGAGCTGAAGGCGCAGTACCAGGAGATTCAGACGCTTCTAGAAAAAGCAGTAAAGACAATGTTCTGCTCCCCCCCACTTTCCTTCATTTTCTCCCCTTCCATGCCCCCCCTGCTGCCCCAGATGCGTCCAACGGAGCTGAAGGCGCAGTACCAGGAGATTCAGACGCTTCTAGAAAAAGCAGTAAAGACAATGTCCTGCTCCCCCCCACTTTCCTTCATTTTCTCCCCTTCCATGCCCCCCCTGCTGCCCCAGATGCGTCACACGGAGCTGAAAGCGCAGTACCAGGAGATTCAGACGCTTCTAGAAAAAGCAGTAAAGACAATGTCCTGCTCCCCCCCACTTTCCTTCATTTTCTCCCCTTCCATGCCCCCCCTGCTGCCCCAGATGCGTCACACGGAGCTGAAAGCGTAGTACCAGGAGATTCAGACGCTTCTAGAAAAAGCAGTAAAGACAATGTCCTGCTCCCCCCCACTTTCCTTCATTTTCTCCCCTTCCATGCCCCCCCTGCTGCCCCAGATGCGTCCAACGGAGCTGAAGGCGCAGTACCAGGAGATTCAGACGCTTCTAGAAAAAGCAGTAAAGACAATGTCCTGCTCCCCCCCACTTTCCTTCATTTTCTCCCCTTCCATGCCCCCCCTGCTGCCCCAGATGCGTCCAACGGAGCTGAAGGCGCAGTACCAGGAGATTCAGACGCTTCTAGAAAAAGCAGTAAAGACAATGTCCTGCTCCCCCCCACTTTCCTTCATTTTCTCCCCTTCCATGCCCCCCCTGCTGCCCCAGATGCGTCCAACGGAGCTGAAGGCGCAGTACCAGGAGATTCAGACGCTTCTAGAAAAAGCAGTAAAGACAATGTCCTGCTCCCCCCCACTTTCCTTCATTTTCTCCCCTTCCATGCCCCCCCTGCTGCCCCAGATGCGTCACACGGAGCTGAAAGCGCAGTACCAGGAGATTCAGACGCTTCTAGAAAAAGCAGTAAAGACAATGTCCTGCTCCCCCCCACTTTCCTTCATTTTCTCCCCTTCCATGCCCCCCCTGCTGCCCCAGATGCGTCCAACGGAGCTGAAGGCGCAGTACCAGGAGATTCAGACGCTTCTAGAAAAAGCAGTAAAGACAATGTCCTGCTCCCCCCCACTTTCCTTCATTTTCTCCCCTTCCATGCCCCCCCTGCTGCCCCAGATGCGTCCAACGGAGCTGAAGGCGCAGTACCAGGAGATTCAGACGCTTCTAGAAAAAGCAGTAAAGACAATGTCCTGCTCCCCCCCACTTTCCTTCATTTTCTCCCCTTCCATGCCCCCCCTGCTGCCCCAGATGCGTCCAACGGAGCTGAAGGCGCAGTACCAGGAGATTCAGACGCTTCTAGAAAAAGCAGTAAAGACAATGTCCTGCTCCCCCCCACTTTCCTTCATTTTCTCCCCTTCCATGCCCCCCCTGCTGCCCCAGATGCGTCACACGGAGCTGAAAGCGCAGTACCAGGAGATTCAGACGCTTCTAGAAAAAGCAGTAAAGACAATGTCCTGCTCCCCCCCACTTTCCTTCATTTTCTCCCCTTCCATGCCCCCCCTGCTGCCCCAGATGCGTCACACGGAGCTGAAAGCGTAGTACCAGGAGATTCAGACGCTTCTAGAAAAAGCAGTAAAGACAATGTCCTGCTCCCCCCCACTTTCCTTCATTTTCTCCCCTTCCATGCCCCCCCTGCTGCCCCAGATGCGTCCAACGGAGCTGAAGGCGCAGTACCAGGAGATTCAGACGCTTCTAGAAAAAGCAGTAAAGACAATGTCCTGCTCCCCCCCACTTTCCTTCATTTTCTCCCCTTCCATGCCCCCCCTGCTGCCCCAGATGCGTCCAACGGAGCTGAAGGCGCAGTACCAGGAGATTCAGACGCTTCTAGAAAAAGCAGTAAAGACAATGTCCTGCTCCCCCCCACTTTCCTTCATTTTCTCCCCTTCCATGCCCCCCCTGCTGCCCCAGATGCGTCCAACGGAGCTGAAGGCGCAGTACCAGGAGATTCAGACGCTTCTAGAAAAAGCAGTAAAGACAATGTCCTGCTCCCCCCCACTTTCCTTCATTTTCTCCCCTTCCATGCCCCCCCTGCTGCCCCAGATGCGTCACACGGAGCTGAAAGCGCAGTACCAGGAGATTCAGACGCTTCTAGAAAAAGCAGTAAAGACAATGTCCTGCTCCCCCCCACTTTCCTTCATTTTCTCCCCTTCCATGCCCCCCCTGCTGCCCCAGATGCGTCACACGGAGCTGAAAGCGTAGTACCAGGAGATTCAGACGCTTCTAGAAAAAGCAGTAAAGACAATGTCCTGCTCCCCCCCACTTTCCTTCATTTTCTCCCCTTCCATGCCCCCCCTGCTGCCCCAGATGCGTCCAACGGAGCTGAAGGCGCAGTACCAGGAGATTCAGACGCTTCTAGAAAAAGCAGTAAAGACAATGTCCTGCTCCCCCCCACTTTCCTTCATTTTCTCCCCTTCCATGCCCCCCCTGCTGCCCCAGATGCGTCCAACGGAGCTGAAGGCGCAGTACCAGGAGATTCAGATGCTTCTAGAGAAGAAGTCAATACAATGTCCTGCTTCCCCCATCCCTCCTTTTTATCTCCCCTTTCCATGCCGTCCCTGCTGCGACCCTACCCAGATGCGTCACACGGAGCTGAAGGCACAGTACCAGGAGATCGAGGCCTATCTTGAGAAGCAGTCAAGACAATGTCCTGCTCCCCCCCCCCTTTCCTTCATTTTCTCCTCTTCTCATGGCCTCCCTGCTGCCCCAGATGCGTCACACAGAGCTGAAGGCGCAGTACCAGAAGATTCAGGCGTTTCTAGAAAAAGCAGTCAAGGCAATGTCCTGCTCCCCCCATCCCTCCTTTTTCTTCTCCCCTTTCCATGCCGTCCCTGCTGCGACCCCATCCAGATGCGTCACACGGAGCTGAAGGCACAGTACCAGGAGACTCAGGCGTTTCTCGAGAAGGAGAAGGAGAAGAAGAAGGATGGGGTTTCTGAGGAGGAGAAAAGAGAAGGTGAGCGCGAAAGGGTGCAGGAGGCGGCAGAACCACGAGGGGCACCAGGTGAAGCAGCAGCAGGAGGGGCAACAGCAGGGGCAACAGCAGGGGCAACAGAAGGGGCAACAACAGCTGGAGTTCAAACACAAGAGGCACGCGCAGCAGAAGCACGAGCAGCGGAGGCACAAGTGGGAGCAGCAGATGCAGGAACAGGTGCAGGAGGGGCAGCTGTGGCAGAAGCAGCAGCTTCGGATGCAGCAGCAGGAGAAGTGTCAGCAGCAACAAGAACAGGAGCAGCAGAAACGGCAGGAGCAGGAGCAGGAGCAGCAGGGGCAGAAACAGCACTTGATTGTGAGAGCGACAGCGTGGGCATGGAGGTGATTTGGAGGAGTCTCAGGACCGTGCAGTTCCCTCTTACAACCCCCCCTCATGCCGCCTGCTGGTGGCAGCAGGGACATACACACAGTGATGCGCTACGGCAGGAGCAGGAGCAGCAGGGAGAGGCTCTAGAGCAGCAGCAGTCAATGCGACAGCAGCAGCTAACACAGCAGCAACAGTTGTCCCTGCAGCAACAGTTGCCACAGCAGCAGGGCACACAGCAGCAGGAGTCAACTTCAGGGGAGGCACGTCCAAGAGGAGAGGAGCAGCAGGTCGACGATCCTATGCCAGTGGAAGGGAGAGAGGAATTGAGTCGAATGCAAGTGGACGGGGAAAAGGGTGCTTGTCCTATGCAAGTGGATAGGGGCGAGGGAAGAACTGCGGATGAGAAAGGAAGACCAGTGTTGCTGGCAGCAGTTGAACGGCTGTCGATCTCAACGACAAATACACCGGCTGAAGAAGCAGCAGCAGCAGCAGCAGCAGGTGCAGCAGCAGCAGTAGGAGAAGAAGCAGCAGCAGCAGCAGGAGAAGAAGCAGCAGCAGCCGCAACAGGAGCCCCTGATGCTGATGCCACTGCTGGTGTTGCCACTGATGTGGCTGCTACTGCTGGTGCTGCCGCTAGTGTTACTACTGGCTCAGGCCAAGACACAAACATGAGTGGTCCGGGATCTTCCGCTCCTGGCACTTCTCGCACTGACACTTCTGCTGCAATCACTGCTGCAATTCCTGCTGCTGCCTTTAGTGTTGCTACTGCTGGCGCAGGCCAAGACACAAACATGAGTGGTCCGGGATCTTCTGCTCCTGGTACTTCTCACACTGGCTCTTCCGCTCGAATCGCTGCCGCAAATCCTGTTCCTGATTCCATTGTTGCCGATCCTAGTCTGAGTGAAACGACTGGTTCAGGCTCAGGCGGAGTGTGTGAGAGCACGAGGCAGGTGCTGCTGGGGCAGTTTGAGGACTTGGAGGGGGCGATGGACTCGTGGGACCACCTCTTCTGCCGCAGATGCCTTGTGAGTGAGAGAGTGAGGGAGGGAGGGAGGGAGGGAGGGAGGGAGGGAGGGAGTGATTGAGGGAGTGAGTGAGGGAGAGAGTGAGTGAGGGAGTGTGTGAGAGCACGAGGCAGGTGCTCCTGGTTCAGTTTGAGGACTTGAAGGGAGCCATGGACTCGTGGGACCACCTCTTCTGCCGCAGATGCCTTGTGAGTCTGTGAGAGTGAGTGAGTGAGCGAGGGAGTGAGTGAGGGAGGGAGTAAGTGATGGAGTGAGTAAGTGAGTGGAGCGGTTCTTTTTTCTATCCAGTGCATACATGCCCTATCCCATCAGTTTTGAGACTTCTCAAAAGTAACCTCTACACACGTGGCTCCTTTTTTCTATCCAGTGCATTCATGCCCTATCCCATCATTCATCCAATACAAACGAGCCCTCTCACCATCCCTTTTCCTCCCCGTCTCTTTCTCGCTCCAATAGTTGGTGACACGGCGCATGAAGTGAAAGTGGCCTTTTGAATCGGCCCAAACCAGGTGTAATGAGTCGTGTTTCGAGTCGACTCAAAACGTGACACGGCGCATGAAGTGAAAGTGGCCTTTTGAATCGGCCTAAACTCCGCCCTCCCCCTTCACCCTCCTCCCCCTCCTCTCTCCCCTTTCGATTTCTTCCACCTTTCTCGGGCAGATCTTTGATTGCAAGACACACACAACCGTCGATGAGCATGTGGTGCCTTTGAGTTGAAATGCATTCCCCCCCCCCCCTCTGCCCTTCTAACTCCCCCACCCTCGTACTTCCCTCCTCCTTGTCATGCAGATCTTTGATTGCAAGACACATGGAACCGTCGACGAGCCAGTGGTGCCTGTGAGTTGATTCTGGGTCGACTTGAGTTGACTTTTGAGTCAGCTTATGAGTTGACGTTTGAGTCAAATGTTGGTCGATGCAAGGAAAGGGTTGCATTGCAAAGACACACGAAACTGGCGACGAGCCGAGCCGGTGGTGCCTGCCTGTGATTTGAGTTGAATCTCATCGGACTTGATTTGAGATGACTTCTAAGTCAGAGTATGAGTCAGTCAACTCGAAAAAATATTGCAAGGCACATGGAAGGAACCGTTGACGAGCCTGTGGTGCCTGTGATGTGAGTCAATTCAAATTCAAATTTGTGGTTAGCCAAAAAGAAGGAAAGAAAAAAGTGAGAAAAAAAAAAGTGGTGTTGCTTGCGAATCAATCTCTCTGCTGATGCCGCTGCGTTGTTTTCATCTTCCTCTCCTCACCGCCTGCTAACTACCTGCTTTAGGGTCGACAACAGGCCAGGCCGTTCTCACGCCACGCCATGTGTCTTGAAACATTCATTCTGTTGCGCCCTCTGCGTTTCTTCTCCCCCCCCACCCCCCACCCACCCCTCTTTCCCCTCTTTCCCGCTCCCCCGCCTTGCAGTCGGATCAGCAACCCCCTGTGGAATCTACTGACGTTGGCAAGTCACCCATGCCTGCTGGGCCTTGCGGCCCCTTGTGCTTCATGCATGTAAGTCCCCGACCCTCAGTCAATTCTCTTGGGGGCAGGTAGTTAGCGTGTAACTGCCGTGCAGTGCACGTTTGAGGCGCCTCAAAAGGCGCCCATGCCTGCTGGGCCTTGCGGTCCCTTGTGCTTCATGCATGTAAGTCCCCGACCCTCAATCAATTCTCTTGGGGGCAGGTAGTTAGCGTGTAACTGCCGTGCAGTGCACGTTTGAGGCGCCTCAAAAGGCGCCCATGCCTGCTGGGCCTTGCGGCCCCTTGTGCTTCATGCATGTAAGTCCCCGACCCTCAGTCAATTCTCTTGGGGGCAGGTAGTTAGCGTGTAACTGCCGTGCAGTGCACGTTTGAGGCGCCTCAAAAGGCGCCCATGCCTGCTGGGCCTTGCGGCCCCTTGTGCTTCATGCATGTAAGTCCCCGACCCTCAGTTTTCCTGGGCAGGCAGCTTGCGTGTAACTGCCGTGTACGGTTTTTCTTTCTTTCTTTCGTTCGTTCTTTCTTTCTTCTTTCTTTCTTTCTTTCTTTCTTTCTTTCTTTCTTTCTTTCTTTCTTTCTTTCTTTCTTTCTTTCTTTCTTTCTTTCTTTCTTTTTTTGATTGAAAATCAGAAAGTATGGTATAGATAGGTTAATTGCTGGAGCCGGCCCGTTTGGCGGCAAAACTGGCTTGAATTCAAGCAGTAGAGGAGAGGAAAACACTGCATAAACGAAGGGAAAAGGGCAATCAGTAGGGCAGGGCAGGGCCCATGTATGTATCCGTCTCTCTGCTCCCCTCTTACCATTGACCTTGACCTTGGCCTTCGCCTTCGCCTTGGCGCTGTAGGTTCCTTCTCTTGTGGCGTTTTGAAGCCGGCTCAAATGCAAGCAGCAGAGGAGAAAGCAGCGAAAACCTTGCGAGTTATTTTTGAGAATTCTCAAAAAGCAGCGAAAACCAAGGGAAATGGCAAGCAGTAGAATTGGGAAAGGGGTGAACTCAGCCTGTTTCCCCCTCTCCGCTTTTACCCTTGGCCCTGGCCTTGGCTTTGGCTTTGACCATGCTGCAGGTTCCTGCTCTTGTGGCACTGAAGCTTACTCGAATGCAAGCAGCAGAGGAGAAAGCAGCAAAAACCAAGGCAAAAGGCAAGAAAAAAGGGAAGCAGATTGTTGGTTTGGTGAAATTGGAGGATGAGGAGGAGGAAGCAGAGGAATTGGAGGAAGAGGAGGAGGAGGAGGTTGAATTATCGGACAGTGTTGCTGGGGAGGAGAGTGAGGAGGAGGAGGAGGAGGAGGAGGAGGAGGAGGAGGAGGAGGAGGAGGAGGAGGAGGAGGAGGAGGAGGAGGAGGAGGAGGAGGAGGAGGGAGGTGAGGAGAATGCGGAAGAAGAAGAGGAGACAATGGAGGAGGAGGAGGGTGAAGAGGTGGAGAAGGAGGGAGGCAAGGAGGGAAAGAGCGTGAAGGAAGAGGAGATGGGCGAGGAGGAAGAGGAGGAACAAGAGGAGGGAAAGGAAGGAAGGTTATACACAGGGGAAGGGGCTGGGGAGGAAAGTAGCCAGGGCGTGGGGAGGGGTGGTAAGAAGGGGAGCGGAGGAAGAGGAAAGGGCCGAGGACGTGGGAGGGCGGGGAGAGGAGGAAGTGGAAGGGGAAGAGGAGTGAGATGGCGTGAGGGAGAAGGAGGTGAGAGGAGGAGAGGAAAGGGGGAAAAGGAGGAGGGTGAGAGGAGGAGAGGGAAGGGGGAAAAGGAGGAGGGTGAGAAGGGAAAGCGGGAGAGAGAAGGTAGCCCATCGGTTTTGGAGATTAGCTCGGAAGAGGAGGGTGATGCGAGTGATGGGGAGGCTTGTAAGGGGGATGAGACGGAAGGAGGTGATGTAAGGATGATTGCTGATGTGGAAGGTGATGGGGATAGGGGCTGTGAGCGGGAAAATGGAGAGGAGAAAGAGGCAATAGAAGGCAAAGAGCGGGTGAGTAATCTGGAAGAAGGGGAGGATGTGAAGGAGGGAAGAGAAGTGACGGAAGAAGAGGAAGGGAGGGAAGGGATGGAAGGGACGCAAGGAAAGGACGGGATGGAAGAGGAGGAATGGAGGGAAGGGATGGAAAGGACGCAAGGAAAGGACGGGAGAAGCAAGGAGAAGCAGCAGCAGCAGCAGCAGCAGCAGCAGCAGCAGGAGCAGCGGGAGCAGCAGGAGGAGCAGGAGAAGGAGCAGCAGTGCGATCAGCAGGAGTGGAGTGCGTTGGAGAGGGAATTACTGAGCAAGGGCGTGCGGATATTCGGTGCGAGCAGCTGTGTGCTGGCACGCACAGTGCTGGCTCACCTCAAGACATGCTCCCAGATCGCACACTGCCTGTTGGGGCAGGAGGGGGGCGACATGCACGAAGAGACACCCACTCCGGTACTACCTACCTGCCTAACTGCTTACCTGCACTGCACACCTCCTTCCCCCCACACCCACTCCCTCTCACCACACATCCTTCCCCCTACCCCTCCTTTCCCACGCACCTCGTTACCTTTCTCGCTCTCTGCGACCCATCTGAAGTGTGTGTGCGGAGGGGAGCAGAGCGGAGCGGAGGGTGATGGGCACGCCTTCTCGCCTTGGCCGTGCGCCGGCAATGGCGACCCACTGAAAAGTCACCCTCGTTACAATGGCGACCCATCGCCGGCGCACGGCCAAGGCGAGGAGGCGGCTGGTGCAGGCACAGTGGGGGTACAACAAGGGGCGGCGGAAGGGGAAGTGTGGATGGCTGGGGAGACTTCTCCCCCCCCTTCCTCGTTTCCTCTCTGTGATGTTTCTAATAACACACTCCAGATGGGTCGCCATCGCCGCCGCACTTCCAAGGCGAGAAGGAGGCTGGTGCAGTGCAGGCACAGTGGCCCACCCCACACATCCTTCCCCCCACACCCACCTCCCCCATTTACACACAGATGGGTCGCCATCGCCGCCGCACTTCCAAGGCGAGAAGGAGGTTGGTGCAGGCGCAGTGGGGGTACAACAAGGGGCGCCGGAAGGGAGGGGCGGGGCAGCCCGTGGTGGTGCAGAGGCTCAAGGCAGAGGCCTCGAAAGAGGTAAGGGGCATGAAGGGGCATGAAAGGGCATGAAGGGGCATGAAGGGGCATGAAGGGGCATGAAGGGGCATGAAGGGGCATGAAGGGGCATGAAGGGGCATGAAGGGGCATGAAGGGGCATGAAGGGGCATGAAGGGGCATGAAGGGGCATGAAGGGGCATGAAGGGGCATGAAGGGGCATGAAGGGGCATGAAGGGGCATGAAGGGGCATGAAGGGGCATGAAGGGGCATGAAGGGGCATGAAGGGGCATGAAGGGGCATGAAGGGGCATGAAGGGGCATGAAGGGGCATGAAGGGGCAGGCATGGGGCAGGGCAGCCTGTGGTGGTGCAGAGGCTGAAAGCAGAGGCGTCCAAGGAGGTACGAACGCCTCGAAAGAGGTAAGGACGCGATGGGTGGGACAGGATACAGTGCAGCAAGGGGCGCCGGAACGGAGGGGCGGGGCAGCTTGTGGTGGTGCAGAGGCGCCGAAGGAGGTACGAACGCCTCGAAAGAGGTAAGGACGCGATGGGTGGGACAGGATACAGTGCAACAAGGGGCGCTGGAAGGGAGGGGCGGGGCAGCTTGTTGTGGTGCAGAGGCGTCGAAGGAGGTACGAACGCCTCGAAAGAGGTAAGGATGCAGGAAGGGGCAGGTGAGGGGAGGGGCATCCAAGGCAAGGCGCAAGTTACAACAACGGGTGTTGGAAGGGGGGTGCGGGTCAGCCCGTGGTGGTGCAGAGGCTGAAAGCCGAAGCATTCAAGGAGGTAAGGAGGCGATGATGGGTGGGCGGGGGTACATACGACAAGGGGTGTTGGAAGGCAGGGGCTGGACAGCCCGTGGTGGTGCGGAGGCTTTAAGGCGAAGCATCCAAGGAGGTAAGGACACGATGGGTGGGTGGGGATACATTCCGACAAGGGGTGCAGGAAAGTGGGGACAGGGCGGGCCGTGGTGGCGCAGAGGCTAAAGGCTGAGGCCTGGAAAGAGGTGCGTATGCAGTAAGGGGCAGGCGTGGGGGGAGGGGCAGGTGCAGTGCAGACCCAGTGGCAGTACAACAAGGGGCACAGGAAGGGAGGGGCAGGGCAGCCGATGGTTTTCAGCTGTTCCTTTTACCTGTCGTCCCCTCAATTATGTTCCTCTACTCCCTCCCTTCTTTCCCCTTCCCCACTCCCTCCCCTCCCTCTCGCTCTCTCAGCGTCAGTACGAGCCGTGCAGCTGCAAGGGTCCATGCGCCAAGGCCACCTGTGAATGCATCATGAGGGGGTGCTTCTGCGAGAAATACTGCGGGTGAGCTTTTAGAGAACTCTCAAAAGCGTTGAAGGCACTATCAAACCCATGCTTGATACTGCAGGTGGGTTTTCATGTTCGCTGGCCCTTCTGTCCTCTGTTTGTCTGCTTTGTGCCTGCACGCATGTTCTCTCTCTCTCACTCCTGTTACGTCTCCTCACCCTTCCCTCCTTCACAGCTCCTCGTCGATAAGCTTCCTCACCTGGCCTGTGTGCGGTTCCCCTTTCTTTGCACTCCATACATCCACCTGTGCCCAGGCGTGCAAGAACCGCTTCCGAGGCTGCATCTGTGCCAAGAGCCACTGGTCCCCCTCACCTCGATTCACCCCTCGTCATGTGTGATTCCTCATGTGCCTTCCCTTGTTCCCAGGTGCGCCCAGGCGTGCAAGAACCGCTTCCGAGGCTGCATCTGTGCCAAGAGCCACCCTCCCTCTCCTCAGCCTCACTGCTCCTCCTCACCCCTAGCCCACGCATCTCTCCCCTCCCACCGTCTCCTGTTGCTATGTGCGCCCTTCCCTGTCCCACCTGCAGCTGTGCCCAGGCGTGCAAGAACCGATTCAGGGGCTGCAACTGTGCCAAGAGCCACTGCTCCCTCACCTCACCTCACCCCAGACCACCCATCTCTCTACCTCCGGACCGTTCTTTATATCTCCATGCTCGTCCTTCCCTGTCCCACTTGCAGCTGTGCCCAGGCGTGCAAGAACCGATTCAGGGGCTGCAACTGTGCCAAGAGCCACTGCTCCTCGCGCCTCTGCCCCTGCTTTGCTGCATCCAGGGAGTGTGACCCTGACCTCTGCCGCAACTGCTGGGTCGAGTGAGTGTCCCTCCCACATCCCCCTTTACATCTCTGTGAGTGGTATTCACGGTCACACTGCTTTGCTGCATCCAGGGAGTGTGACCCTGACCTCTGCCGCAACTGCTGGGTTGAGTGAGTAGGCCTCCTTCTTCCCACTTTACATCTCTGTGAGTGGTATTCACGGTCACACTGCTTAGCTGTGAGGGAGGTGACTTTTGTTTTGAGTCGACTCAAGAGTTTTACTTGTTAAAATGTTACAATAGCATTGTTCCTTGCCTGTCTGTGTCACGTGTGCGAAGTTGCGGGGATAACCGCCAAGGGGCTGTGCTGCCACTGCCACCGCCTGTGAGGGAGGTGACTCTTGAGTCAACTTGAAAGTTAACTTGTTACAATGTTACAATTCTATTGTCCCCTGCCTGCCTGTCTGTGTCGCATGTGGCCAGCTGTGGGGATAACCGCCAAGGGGCTGTGCTGCCACTGCCACCGCCTGTGAGGGAGAAAAACTACGACTGCCACAACATGCGCTTGCTGCTGCGCCAGCACCAGCACGTGAGTGGGTCGTCTGTATCACCCAATCCCTTGTACCTTGCATTGCACCAGCACGTGAGTGGGCCGTCTGTATCACCCAATCCCTTGTACCTTGCATTGCACCAGCACGTGAGCGCCCCTAGGCAGATTTCATTTTTGAGTCGACTCAAAAATCGACTCAGCACACGCGGTCTGTATCACCCAATCCCGTGTACCTTGCATTGCACCAGCACGTGAGCGCCCCTAGGCAGGTTTCAACCCCCTTTCTTTCCCCGCCTCACCCTCGTTCCCTCCCCCTTTCCACCTTCGTAAACTCGTTTCGTCTCACCTCCCCCCCTCTGTACCCTAGTTTCTTCCCTTCCCCTGTAACCTCATCTCCTCCCCCTTCCCGTTCCCCCCCCTGTAACCTGGTCACCTCCCCTCTACCTGCCTGCAGATTCTACTAGCCCCCTCGGACGTGGCTGGCTGGGGTGCCTTTCTCAAGGTGAGTGGTTTTTCGTTTCTGCACTGGAGGGTTACGGTATGGTACTGTGTGGTACTGTATGGTATTATGTGGTACGGTAGGGTAATGTGTGTTATGGTATGATAAGTTGTAGCATTGCATGACAAGGCAGAGCATGCTGTGATGTGATATGGTGGTCCTCGTGTCTGCACAATTGGTTTGACTTTTGAGAATTCTCAAAAGTCAAACCAACAAAGCACTGCATGACTAGGTAGAGCACGGTGTGATATGGTGGTGCTCGCTCGTGTCTGCACAATTGGTTTGACTTTTGAGAATTCTCAAAAGTCAAACCAACAAAGCACTGCATGACTAGGTAGAGCACGGTGTGATATGGTGGTGCTCGCTCGTGTCTGCACAATTGACCTCACAGTACCACACACAGCAGAAGTTGAAATGAAATGACGTCCGTGAATTGACATCCTCGAGTCATCCGAATCAACACAATTGCCACTGGAAAGATAAACATGTGATGTGCTGATGTGTGGTGCTACACCCCCCTGCTCTGTGGTGTTGTGTGCTGCCGCATGCTATGCGGTGTGGTGCGGTAATGTGCGATTCATGAGTCGGGTGAAAGTGAGAGTGCTGAGGAGTGCACATGCGAGCTCATAACAGGGCACACTCATTTGCTCATACTGTGCTCTCCATGTTATTCTGTGCGATGTTGTGTGGTAACATGTGGTGATGTGTGGTGCAATGCGGAAATATGCGGTGCTGTGCGGTGCAGAAGGAGGTGGCGAAGAACGACTACGTGGGGGAGTACACAGGCGAGCTCATATCAGAGGCGGAGGCAGAGAGGAGGGGCAAGATATACGACCGCATCAATTGCTCCTTCCTGTTCGATCTCAACAAGAAGGTCAGTCAATTGATGTGCTCTGAGAATCTATTGGTGAAACCATGATTTCTTGGGCAATCTCGTGAGGGGCAAGATCTACGACCGAACCAACTGCTCTTTCCTCTTTGATCTCAAGAAGGTCAGTTGTTGCTGCATTGTGACATTGTATTTTGAGTTGCCTCAAAAGAGGCCAAGAGGAGGGGCAAGATCTACAACCGCATCAACTGCTCCTTCTTGTTCGATCTCAACAAAAAAGGTCAATTGATGCGCTGTGCCCTTTCGAGTTGTTCTGGCAATGGTACCAGTGGAGTTTTATTTTTGTAATTGTATTCTCCCCCACTAAGTATCAATTCTATGTTCCTCACCCCCCCTGCCCCCATCCCCAACCCCAAACAATTTACCCCCTTACTTCCAGTATGTGCTGGATGCGTTTCGTCGAGGCAACAAGCTAAAATTCGCCAACCATTCGCTTTCGCCAAATTGCCATGCCAGGGTGAGTGTGATTTAATGAACCTGGAAACCTAATGCAGTCTGCTTCGAAGCTGCATCTTTCTTATTGCTAATGAAAGTCGTCTTTTGCATGTGCGGTGCGGTTTCTCAGGTCATTATGTCTGGTGGTGATCATCGAGTGGCAATTTTTGCCGGAGAAAGAATTGAATCTGGGAAGGAGTTGTTTTACGACTATGGATATGCATCTAATTGCACGCCTTTATGGGCACTCAAGCTTGGAACAGCAGCACGTAGGACAGGCGGTCCAGGAGGAAGCTCGAAGACCACTAGAAAAGCTCAAAAGGCTTCTTGAATATGAAAAGGCTCGTTTTCTTTATCATACTGATGCAATGTATGGACTGTACGAATCCTCTTCTACCACCTGTAACAATGTGACCAATGTTGATAAAGGTTTCGCTCAGGTTCAGGGGCTTCGGTTAAAATCAGGTGTTCTAATGTGACGGTTGCAGACACTGTTGAGCAGTCCGAACCGCCTGTGATGTCACACCAACCTGAAGGTTCAATGGTTAGGGTAAATTGCGCTAGCAAGTCGAGATGGAAAGTTTTCTACTCCTCTTTCTCAACAAAGTAGAAAGTTTCACTAGAGTGGAAAATGTTCCGAGATCAGCCTTGGTATTCTGAGCTGCAGTCCCCAAAGTGATTGAATTGAGAACATAGATATGACAACCACTTCGGTGGTAGAAAGGTTTTGTAAGCAGATATTTGTAACTGTATCCCACAGGATACACTTTCCGTGTGGAGGAGCAGGTTCTGTAGGCTCCGACCACACCCCCAGAATCAACAGCCCAGGTGGGAACCTACAGTTAGCGAATCACTCACCTCAACCACAATAACGCGTCTCCGTACCGTACTGTACCTGATATCTCACTACAGTACACCTTCCACGTTTCATTTCACTGGTGCGGGCAATTTTGATATGATGAGCCCAGGGATAGTGCTCACAGCCATGGGTGTGAGGAGGATCTCAGAAGAGTTGGGTTGGGTGGGATGGGATCGGACTCTCCAGACGGGCAGGCTGGACGGGCAGGGGCTACAAGGCGACCAACAAAAACTGTACACCAAGAAGGAAATTCCGAGGGGGAGACAGGAAGGCAGGGCAAGAAAGGAAACTCCAAGGAGCTCCTTGCAGTGCCCAGAAGAGAGGAGAGGTACAGCAGGCAGCAGCTCGTATCAGGAGGACTCGAGGGGACAAGCTCTTGGTTGGTCGCCGCGCCACATTCTCGTTATCGTGCGGTGATAGGGCCACATTCGCCTAGCAGGCAGAAAATCAGGTCCCATGATGTCGCAGTGATAGGCGCGCGCATGGGGGCATCTCATCCCCGCGGACGCTCCGCCAGGATCTCCGCTGCTAGTTGGAGATCCGCGATGGTTCCCGCCACTGGCGCGCGTAAGCGCCTCCCGCCAAGTTCTCCTTCCGCCCATCCCCCGCGAATCTTTTTCCCCGCTTCCGCCCACGCTTCCGCCCGCGCTTCCGCTGCCACGCCCTTCACCTCGATAATGTCCGCGATACTGTTGTCCGCGTTACTGTTCGCCGCATTACTAGTCACTCCAGCGGTAGCCCAGGGGACAGATGCGGCCTCCCCCGGCTGTACCGTCTCCGCGTCGGCGGTATCCTGCCCGGCGGGACTTGGGGGCCGCGCTTTTGCGCTCAACGCGCAAGCTTACATCGCGGGCGCAGGCCGAGAAAACGCGCTCGTCCTGGGCGCGGGCGGAACCGCGGATAAGGGATCCGCGGGTTCCGCATTCACTATCGCCGCGCTCTCGCCTCCGCTCGGTGGCGGAGGCTCCTTTTCGGCGCGCTTCACATTCCAGCTGGAGGGGCAGAACGAGGCTGACGTGGCAACGGGGCTTGCTTTCGTCATCATTGGCGGAACCAAAACCGCTGTCGGATCGCCTAGGTGAGATACAGCATTCCCCATCGTCGCTCTTATCCCCTCTCCTCCGCCGCCATTGTCTCCCCTTTCCCCGCCTCCCCGGCCCATTGTTCCTCTTTCCCCCGCTTCCTCTTTCCCCCGCTTCCTCTTTCCCCCGCTTCCTCTTTCCCCCGCTTCCAAGCCGTGCCCCTTATCTGACCTTGCCCCTCCCCCCCAAGCTCTCCCCGTGTGGTTTCCCGTGCGCTCATCCATGCCCTCCCCTGTGCGCTCGTCCATGTGTCCCCCCATGCGCTCCCCCATGTGTCCCCCCATGCCTTCCCCCGTGTGTCCCCCCGTGCGCTCCACCGTGCGCTCCCCCGTGCGCTCCCCCACGCATCACCCACCCCACCCCCGTCCTCCACTCCCCACACAGCTCTGCCGGCTACGGCGGCGCCGCCTTCGATGCCAGCCTGGCAGTGGTGATCAACGGCCGCCCGCCCATCTCTGCCGGCCTGCTGCTGGGCGGCAAGGCGGACGGCACTGCCGGATGGGCGGCTCTCAACCCCTCCGCGCCTGACGCACCCCATGTAAGCTGAGCGTGTAAGGAGGGAGAAAGGGAGGGTCCGCGCCATCTACGATGAGCGTGTGGGGGGAAGGGAGAAAGGGTCGTGTCCCCATGTCCGATGAGGAGGGGGAGGGAGGGGCGCAACCCACGTACGTACGTGACTCGAGGGCTACGTGTGTTCGTGAAACACTGCTGAGAAATTCCAACAGTGCTCTCCTAAACTCCCCCTTTTTGCCCCTTCCCTTTCCCACCTTCCCCATCCCCCTCTCCCCTCCCCCCAGCTGCTAGTCCCGGGGGTGCAGCAGCACGCCTGGGTGGACCACAACGCCTCCCACTCCTCCCTTGTTCCCACTATACCCATTCCTTACCCCATACTGTCTGTTCCTCTTCTACCCCCACTCTCTTCCCCCCCCCAGCTCCTGGTCCCGGGGGTGCAGCAGCACGCCTGGGTGGACTACGACGCCTCTAGCACCACCCTCCGCCTCTTCCTCAGCGGCTCCTCCCCCACCAAGCCTGCAGCTCCGGTGCTCTCCGAGCCTGTCGACCTGGCTCGGACGCTCGGCTTGGCCGCAGACGGCAGCTGCCCAGATGGCATTGGCGAGGTGGCGGTGGGCGGCGGTGGTTGTCTGTTTGTGGGGTTTACGGGAGGGTCGGCAGCAGTGGATACAGCTGAGCTGGCAGCAGCGGGAGTGGTCCCCGGAGGGGAGCTCATCCAGACCGTTGACTCGTTTGACTTCAAATTCCTCTCCGCTGGCGCTACATCCGGCGCTACAGCGGGCGCTACAGCCGGTGCTACAGCTGATACTGCCACTGCTACCTCTGCTGATGCTACCAGCACCGAATCTCGCCTCCCCCGCTCGGCAGATATCAGCAGTGCAACAGTAGCTTCTTTCGGAGCCACAGACCCCTCCGCTGCTGGCGGCGGTCTCTTCTCAGTCGCCTCTGTCGATACCGGCTCTGGCACTGGTGGTCTCACTGGCACGTCCGCCGCTCCTGCCCCTGCCCCGTCCGCTTCCTCTTCCCCTGCCCCCTGCAACGTCACTGCCACCAGCATCTCGTGTGCTGGTTTCTCCTCTTCTTCCTCCTCCTCGCCCTTCTTCGTCCTCTCTGGGGATGCTCAGATCGGGCCCGGACCGAACTTCCCCATCTGGCTCGACACCACCACCAATGCTGCAGGCTGCGCCTTCTCCATCCCGAGCCTCAGCCGCCTCGGCACCGGACCGGTGGCGTTTGAGGCGGCGTTTTCGTTTTCGTTTGCGGCGAGTGCGGATTACAACAGCTGGGGCAGTCGAGGGCTGGCGTTTGTGCTCACTGCCGGGGAGAAGACCGCCTGTGGCCGCAGCTCCGCCAGGTGAGGAGCGGTGGGGAGGGATAGGGTGTGGTAGCACTGATCCGTGTCACAGCTCCCAACACGGATCTCCATTTGCCCTGACTCTTCCCTCTGCTGCCACGTTCCTATTCCCTCTGATTCCCGTCTTCCGCCCCCTCTTCCCATCCACCACCCGCACCCCCTCCCTCTTCCAACCAGCAACATAGGCTATGGATCAGCCCCCAACGCGTCGTTCGCAAATAGCATAGCAGTGGAGCTGAGAGCGCGGCCGACGGCGTGTGTGGCGGTGGTGGTGGGCGGGCAGGTGGCCGGCGACAACTGTGCCGACTCCGATGCCATGGCGCTGCTGCCGCCAGGGCAGGTAACACCTGGTTGGGTAACACCTAGTTGGGTAGATCTGCCTACTCAGGTAACAACTGTGCCGACTCTGATGCCATGGCGCTGCTGCTGCGCAGCCAGGTAACGCCTGCTCAGGTAACGCCCGGTCGGGTTACACCTCGTCGGGTGAAACCTGCTGCGGTAACTCCTCCGGGGGTAAGGCCTGCTCGAGTAGGGTTAACACCTGTTGGGTAAGGCTTTTTTTCATTGGCCCCTACACGTCGTTTTTTATTAGAATTGCCTTGCGTCATTACTTTGGCCAAATGTGTGGTCTCGAGTTCAATTCCCACTGTGCACCATGATGAGCGCCTGTCTAAGTCAACCCCGGTGAAGAGGATGCCTCTTGCACGTCATTGTAGGTCTTGCAGGCATGCTCTCTCCCTTATCGTCATACGTCCTTAAAGCCCAGTGGTTAGCAGTCCAGCTGGCCCAACACCAAGCCCCACTTTCCCGTAACCCCCACTCCCCTGCTCCACCCGCCCCCCTTGCTCCCTCCACTTCTCCGCTCCCCCAACCCCCCCCCCCCACTCCCCCCCACCCACCCAGGCGTTCACGCTGAACGAGCCGCAGCACGTGTGGGTGAGTTATGACGGCAGCAGCGGCACGCTGCAGGTGTTTGTCTCCCCAGGCGCGGCCAGCAAGCCCTCGGCGCCCGTGCTGGTGGCGCCCATCGATGTGGCGGCGATTCTGGGAAGCACGGCGGGGCTGTCGGTTGGCTTCACAGGCGCGTCGTGGTGGACGTGGGTGGACGACCTTGAAGACCACATCATCCACTCCCTGTCTTTTGAAGCTGGTACGATATGTATTGTACATATAATGGGGTGGGGGAGGAAGGGGAGGACGTGGGTGGACGACCTTGAAGACCACCTCATCCACTCCCTCTCCTCCCAAGCTGGTAACCACATCATCCACTCCCTCTCCTCCCAAGCTGGTAACCACATCATCCACTCCCTCTCCTTCCAAGCTGGTACGATTTTTTATTACTGTTGTTATTTCTATGGTTGTTATGATTGATATTACTAGCATTGTCTATATATAATAATAATAATTTAAGGAGGGACTTCCTTGGAGGAGGGTGTGCCTATAGGACTATTTTGTCGCCGTGTTTGTTTACCATCCGTCCAGTTCTCAGCGCGAAGGTGACTTCTGAGTAAACCTTTCCCTCTCTTTCCCTTCTCCATCCCCTCTCCCCCTCCCCTCAGTCCCCCCCGGGTCGCAGCAGTCCCTGCCACCCTCCCCTGCGCCCACCACGTGCCACCTCGCCCCCTCCCACACGCGTCTCACCTGCTCGGGCTTTGCGGGCCGCTCAGCCTTCCGCCTGAACGGCTATGCCCACGTGGGGCCCGCCCCCTCCTTCCCCCTCGTCCTCGACACCGGCGGCACCGCTGGCAGCGCGCTCACCCTCGCTGACCTGGCGCTCTCGCTGGATTCGTCCACGTCCGCAGTGACTGCAGGAGGAGACCCGCCGGCAGCAGCGGCAGCAGTGGCGTTTGAGGCGGCGTTTGCGTTCTCGGTGTGGACGGAGACGTCTTATGGCTACCGGGGTAGCAGGGGTTTGACTTTTGTTGTTAGCAGCGGCGACAAGACTGCCTGCGGGTCGAGTGATATGGGGTGAGTGGATCGACATGGTAAGTCGAGGTGGCGTACAATGACTCAAAATTGTATGGCATGGGTAGGATAACTCTTTCCCTACCATCTTGCAATTTATCATATCTACCTTCTTACTTCAGTGCAACACATTCCGCACTTTCTCCTCCTCCATTCCTCCATTTTTGAGGCGCCTCAAAAGTACCTTCTTACTTCAGTGCAACACATTCCGCACTTTCTCCTCCTCCATTCCTCCATTTTTGAGGTGCCTCAAAAGTACCTTCTTACTTCAGTGCAACACATTCCCCACTTTCTCCTCCTCCATTCCTCCATTTTTGAGGCGCCTCAAAAGTACCTTCTTACTTCAGTGCAACACATTCCCCACTTTCTCCTCCTCCATTCCTCCAACCTACTCAGCACCCTCACGTGTCTCTCTCCACACCCTCTCCTCCGAGCCATAGGGTATGGGAGAGCGGCACCAGGGGCGTTGAACGGGAGTGTGGCTGTGGAGCTTTATTCGGGGTTTGAGGCACCTGAAATGGCCTGCCTGCCACACCCTTTCTTTCTCCCTATCTTCGCAACTCACCCATCCCTTCCCTTCCCTCCCCTTCCCTCCCTTCCCTCCTTTCCCTTCCCTCCTAACAGAGCCATAGGGTACGGGGGAGCGGCACCAGGGGCGTTCAACGGGAGTGTGGCGGTGGAGCTTCGGTCGGGGCCCACCTCGTGTGTGGCTGTGGTGGTGAATGGCGTGGCTTCAGGCGACAACTGCGCTGCTGCTGACCACATGACTGGCCTCACAGGAGACCAGGTCAGTTCAGTGCGGTAAATTGTGAAATAATGCAGTGAATTTTGGTTCTCTGCGGTGGACTGCGGTTCGAGGGGAATGTGGCAATGGAGCTGCATTTGGCATACGATACAACAGCGCTTCTGAAGCTATGTTCCATCTGACGCCCTAATGTTGCAGCGTCCGGCGTCCAGACGTTACTGTCCGGACGCTGGATGCTGGAAATTTTCTTTTTGGGCAGCCCCAAACAAAAATCCCGCACAAAATTGAGGCGCGATTCAATCGCTACCAGATTCGCGATGAAATCGCCAAGTGTGGGTTACGTTTTTGAGCTACAAAAACGCAACCCACATTTATTTTCCCCCCACACATTTTCACCCATCCAAATCTACTTGTCCCAACCTGGTCGACCCCCAGCTAAACCAGAAAACCAGATCTAGGTCGACATTACACATTTCTGTTTCTGTTGTCATAGCCTAGCAACCTGAACCCTAGAATCCACCAGTCACGCTACTGAGTTATGCATGTGAGACTGACAGTATTTAACTTGTGTGTGAGATTAGGGGATTTTCAGAATTTTCAGGATATTCTGGAATATGAACAGCTTTTGGTGAAAAATGTGAAGTTGTTGCATCCTAACCCCTGTTTAGCCTTACTACCAAGGTTTTTTTGCCCCCTGCCCGGGATTTTTTTTTGCCTGCCCGGACTAGCGTCAAGTGGGCGTCCAGGGCAGAGGAACCCGGGCGTCCAGCATCTTGACGCCCCGTCCAGACGCCAGCGTAAAAAACGCTGGACGCATCAGATGGAACATTTTTGAGTCGACTCAAAAGTCAACTCGCTGGACGCATCAGATGGAACATTTTTGAGTCGACTCAAAAGTCAACTCGCTGGACGCATCAGATGGAACATTTTTGAGTCGACTCAAAAGTCAACTCGCTGGACGCATCAGATGGAACATTTTTGAGTCGACTCAAAAGTCAACTCGCTGGACGCATCAGATGGAACATTTTTGAGTCGACTCAAAAGTCAACTCGCTGGACGCATCAGATGGAACATTTTTTAGTCGACTCAAAAGTCAACTCGCTGGACGCATCAGATTGAACATTTTTGAGTCGACTCAAAAGTCATCTCGCTGGACGCATCAGATGGAACATATTTCTGAAGCCGCCTCACCACCCACCCCTCTTACTCCCCACCGTTTCATCTGGTGCGTGTTTTCTCTGCATGGAAAGAAGGCAGCAGCACGCGTGGGTGGCACTCCCAACTGCAGACTATTTCGTTTCCACCCACAACTCACTTTCCCACCCTTTCTTCCCATGCATTCATGTGCTATCCTCTCAGGAGATTGCACTGAGCGAGAGGCAGCACGCGTGGGTGGCATACGACGGCACATCCCAGTCACTGGAGGTCTATCTGGGCGGCAGCGACGGCATAAAGCCCGAGGAGCCGGTGCTGCGGGCATCGCTTGATCTTGTGGCTGTCATTGGTGCCACGTCAGCATCTGTGGGGTTCACAGCTGGCACGTGGTGGTGGGGATGTGGCGACACGGACGACCACCACCTCATCCATTCCTTCGCATTCAACACTGGTGAGCTGACAGGAATTTCTCTGTGCTAACGACTTAAAAAGTCCTTGAATTTTGAGTCAGATCCAAAGGCAACATGGACGACCATCACCTCATCCACTCCTCCTTCAACGCTGGTGAGCTGGCAAATATCCTTGGATACCACCAGATAGGTAGTTGACTTTTGAGTCGACTCAAAAGTCAACGCAAATATCCTTGGATACGATAGGTAGGTAGTTGACTTTTGGGTCGACTCAAAAGTCAACGCAGATATCCTTGGATACCAGATAGGTAGTTGACTTTTGAGTCAACTCAAAAGTCAACGCAAATATCCTTGGATACCAGATAGGTAGTTGACTTTTGAGTCAACTCAAAAGTCAACGCGAATATCTTTGGATACCAGATAGGTAGATACGCTTTCTTGGGGCTCAAATTCTGGCTTTGAACATATCGTCTTCCTTTGCCTCCCTACCCTCCCCCTTGCCCACACACCTCCCCTCCCCAGTGTCCCCTGGGTTCCTGCCAGCAGCATCACCCACCTAAATCCCAGTCGAACCCTCATTTCCCTCCCCCACTCTCTTTTTACCCCGACCCATCCACCTCCCCAGTGTCCCCCGGGTTCCTGCCGGCAGCACAGCCCACACAGGCGCCCACCTGCGAAACCACCGCCTCCTCTCTGCACTGCACTGGCTTCGCCGGCTCCACCCCCTTTGACCTCAACGGCTACGCGCAGCTCGGCCCGGCGCCGCACTTCCCGCTCTGGCTCGACTCGTACGATTCTGTCGGCTCTGCGCTCTCCCTCGCGCCCCTCTCCCTCCTCACCGCTTCCGCCCGCTCCTCCGCCTTTGAAGCCGCCTTCTCCTTCACCTTCCTTGCTGATGCCTGCGCTGCTATCCCGGTACGATACTCACCCTTTCACCCTGGCACCCTTGTATTGTCTGCACTCTTCCACTCAACATGCTTGCACATCACACCCCAATCGCCTTTGAAGCCGCCTTCTCCTTCACCTTCCTCGCTGATGCCTGTGCTGTTATAGTCACAATAGGCTTGAATGTGCCTAAAACGAAAGATAGAGAGCACAGACGGATTTCTGCACAGCGGCTTCAAACGTTGATAGCGTTCTGCTCACAGCTGCAAATGACTTGATTCAAATTGGATCTGGAGCGTCTTCACGTCGTCTACAATTACCAATTTAGATTGCACGATTTGATAAAGAATTGACGACACAGCGTCGGTTTGAACGAACGGTACTATGCCAGCCACTATAGTCTTAGAACACAAGATAAGAAGAGTTACGAGTTGGGAATGACTCCCAGCTCCTACAAACCCCAAGAGCCGAGGTACAGTGATGTGGAACAGTGCCACACTGTCCCCAACCACGAAGGATCTCGAAACTACCCTTCACTAGGGCCTACACCAAGTGAAATGTTACACTACACAAAGTAATGTAACTATCTTCAATATCTTGAGGTGTACCCTTTTGGCGAGCTTCGAAATCACTTGAGGCTTGACACCAAGGCTCGGGCTCTTCATCACAAACTCATCCTTGAGTTCTTGATGGGTCTGCTGCACACACCTGCGACACGCCGAACGTTCGACACAGGACAAAATAGAAACCGCGCACGACAAAATAGAAACCGCGCGCGAGACACAAACGACCGCGTAACACGCGTCTAGCGATAACTCGCTATTGACTCGACACACACACTCGACATCATGACTCAACATTCACACACAATTATAAGCATGAAATATATATTATCCCATGCCCTCATACCATTCCATACACACACACATTCACGCACACGGACAACAAGCCGAGTGCAAACCGTAGGGTTGCATCAACAAACTCCCCCTCGGATTGTTGGCCTTAGGATATGTTGCTCTCTCAGTTCAGAGCCATCCCAGCCAGCTTGCAACACTTCCAATGCTGCTGCTCCACCAGCCTCTTGGTCATCATGTCAGCCGGCTGCCCCGTGGTCTTCACGTAGCGCAACTCAACTTCACCCGCGGTTACCATGCTCCTCGTCCAATGCCACTTCATCCTCATGTGCTTCGTGAGTCCATGCAACACAGGGTTCTTAGCAAGAGCAATGGCACCCTGGCTGTCACAGTACAGTGGGGTAGGTCCTTGCTGCTCCTCCCCCAATTCAGCCAACAAACGCCGCTGCCACACAATCTCCCGTACGGCACGGAAGAGTGCCATGTACTCGGACTCCACCGAGCTCAAAGCTTGGTCAACCTGCTTCTTGCTCTCCCAAGCAGTTGGGCCTCCACCAACACAGCATATGAAGCCTCCCACACTTGTCATGTCCTCTGGTTCTGATGCATATGAAGCATCCGAGTAGGCGGTGAGGAACAAACGCCCGGGTTCAACACCATCCGCGCCCTTTTGGCGCCTTTGTGCCGCCGCCGAGTATTGCAGCCCAACGGTCGGTGTTTGGCCAAGATACTTGGCCACCCTCATTCCAGCTGCTACCTGCTCCTCATTAGGGCATTGCACAACCCTAGCCAGCTGCCCGGTAGCAAACGCGACGTCCGGTCGGGTGTTTACCGCCGCATACATGAGGCTGCCCACCAACGAGTGAAATCGGCGCCTCTCCTCTTCATCAACGCTCTCCTCCTCTGGTCCCTTCACACACTTGAACCCAGAGGGAAAGGGTGTAGCCACATGGCCTTCACTCTGCCCAAAGTTGGCAGCCAATGCCTCCAGGTACTTTCGTTGATGCACCCGCATGCACCGCTTCTCCACATCTCGTTCGATGTGGAGCCCAAGGTAGAAGCTCACGTCACCAAGGGCCTTGCACTTGAACTTGTCTTGAAGCTTCAGCATCACCGCCTTCACAAGGTCAGAAGAGGGTGAGAAAATGAGGATGTCATCCACATAAACCACCATGAAACTCCTCTGCTCCCCCTCGCCAAGCTTGAACAAGGAGTGATCGGCCGTTGAGGGAGTGAAGCCGATCCCCTCCAACACTTCGCGCAGCTTCATGTACCATTGCCTAGGGGCCTGCTTCAGCCCATAGAGGGCCTTCTTCAGCTTCCACACTCTGCCACTACCATCATCAAACCCCTCTGGCTGCGCCATAAAAATCTCCTCCTCAAGGATGCCGTTAAGGAATGCCGTTACGATGTCCATTTGCTTTACTACCCATCCTTTGATGGCGGCTCCCGCGAATAGGGTTCGCAGCGTCGTCGGCTTCACCACAGGGGCAAACAGCTCCTTGAAGTCCACCTTCTCCTTCTGCTGGTACCCCTTGGCTACAAGGCTAGACTTGTAGCGCTCGATCTTGCCGTCGGCATCCGACTTGATTTTGAAGAGCCACTTGGACGTTATCGCCGTACGCCCCTCCGGTAGCTCCACCAATTCAAACGTGTCATTCTCCTCGATGCTCTTCAGCTCACTCTCCACGGCCTTCTTCCACTCCTCAGAATCACTACTCTCCAAAGCCTCCTTGAGAGTTGCTGGTTCTCCCGGCATCTCCACCGGAGAGAAGAACGCGAAGGCACACTCCTCGTAGTCACTCTCCTCGTCGTCTCCGACCATCATTGCCGCTCCGGCCAGGGCTGTCTTGCCCTGCTTTCCCGGCGCATCATAGGTCAGCCTATTAGGGGGTTGAACTCTCCTCTTCCCCCTTCCTTCCTCCTCAGCTGCAGGGACTTGAAGGCCTTGGCGTTGCTGCGGTGTGGCTCGAATCCGTGGAGCACTCGTAGTACGGGAAGGGAGTGACGGTGCACGCTCGCTCACTTGCTGCACCTCCTCCTCTTCTTCCTCTGCATCATTGGCCTCCTCTCCCCCATTCACAAGGGAGGATTGCCTTGTGGTTGTGCTGCCGCTGCTCAGCTCCAAAGGCAGCTCCACATGCTCCAAACCGGAACTCTTCACCTCCCCAAACCGCACGCCTATCTTCGCCTCATTCTCCGCCTTCCAATCCTTGTACATGAAGTTCTCCATGAACTTGCAGTCCCTGCTCACCAAGAACTTCTTGGTGAATGGGTCCCAAATAAGCCATCCCTTGCTGTTTTGAGCCATGCCCAAGTGCACGGCCCACACCGCCTTGGCACTAAGCTTGTTGTGCCGAAGATGCTTAGGCACGAGCGCCATGCACATGCACCCGAACACCCGAAGCATATCCACCTTTGGCTTCCTTCCTAGCCACTCCACATAGGACACCCATTTGTCTGCTCCCACATGAGTCAAGGCTCTGTTCTTGGCCACACACGCGCTCCGCACCGCATCAGGCCAGAAATAGTCGGGTAGCCCGGCTTCAATGAGCAACCCGCGTGCCGCTTCCGTGATTGTGCGGTTCGCTCGCTCGGCGATGCCGTTCATTGCAGGGGAGTATGGCATAGTGAGGGAGTGCCGAATACCATTCTTCTTCAGCCACAGCCCAAACTCCTTGCTCAGGAACTCTCCCCCTCGATCGGTGCGGATTGACTTGACTAGACGGTCTTGTTGCCGCTCCACCATCGGGAACCAATCCGTCTTCAACGTTTCAGCCACGTCGCTCTTCTTGGCCAGCACGTACACCCAAGTCATGCGGGTGTAGACGTCGACAATGGTGAGAAAATACTCAGCTCCAGCAGCTCCAAGCTTCAGGGGGCCCACCACGTCCATCACCACCTCATCAAGCGGTGCCTTTGCCGTTGCCTCCGAACTAGGGAACGGAAACCGGGTGAACTTGGCTTGAATGCACGTCGGGCAGCCAAGCACCTCATCGGGCTCCCCCTTCACACGTATGCCAGCAACCATCTCATTCTTCACTAGCTGCTGCAAGATGGGCAGGGCCACATGCCCCATGCGCCGATGCAAGGTGAGCCAATCACACTCCCCCGTAGCCGAAGTTGGATTGGAGAATGCCGCGCTCGCAATAGCGCCCCACATACTCTCTCCGTAGTCCTCCTCCGCTGCTGCCTCTGGGTTCTCCTCACCCTTTTGCTGCTCCTTGGTTGCTGCACCACTCTCCTTAGGTTCACTGAACTTGCTGGTCCCTCCAGGTTTGCTCTTCTTGAGCTCATTCTCCTTAGCGCGACCGTTCGCGCCATCGTCGCTACCGACCGCTCCATCCTTGGTGCTGATGCTTGCTGCCACTTGCCTCTCCTTAGGCATAGGGACCACTGGGATCTGCCACATCTCGTTGTAGACATCCCTGTCCTCATGAAGGTCCCAAAGAATTCGATCGCCAAGCCTTGCGGTGTAGGTCTTGGCTCCCTTCGAGTTCGTGTCCATGCCGGCCTTTGCCAACCGCCGCACGGAAATCAGGTTTGCAGCAAGGCTGGGCACCCAAAGCACGTTCTTGAGGCCCACCATCTTCCCATCAGCACCCTTGAACATGGCCTTGCCCATGCCTTTCACATCTGCTCGCTGCCCCAAAGCCGATGTGACATGCTTCACCGGTGACGGCTCGAGTTCGGTGAGCAAGTCCGGGCGAGGTGTCATGCTATAGGTAGCGCCACTATCAATCACCCAATAGTCCAGGGGGTGTAGGGTCACCTTCCCCACAGCTGCTGGCTCCTCAAAGCCTTCATCCTTCTCTGGACCAGCCGGTACTTGCGTCGACACGAAGTAGAATAGACCCGGGTATCGATCGTCGCTCGGGTCCTTGTCGTTGTCTCCGCTCTTCATGTTTGCAGCTCCGCCACCGCGACCGCCACGGCCTCCACGACCTCGTCCTCTCCCTCCTCCTGCTCCTCTACCCTCTTGGCCTTGAGCAGGGGTCCAACCATATGGGAGTTTGTAGCAGTCGCGCCACATGTGTCCGCTCTTGTGGCAATAGTGACACTCGCCGTCGAATCGGCCGCGACCGCGTCCGTAGCTCTTGTCGTCGCTGCCATAACCGCCACTTCTGCGGCCTCCGCCGAAGTTGCTGCCACCAAACCTTCCTCCCCCTCGTCCTC